TTTTACTCTTTCCATAAAATGATATCAAACAAACAATAGAAAAAACTACTTGGAGTTTGTGTAGCCATTTTGCAATGAGCAAAAAGTCCAATTAACCACACGTTCGAAATCATTGTTACTGTATTATTCGTTACCATGAATACGAAGACTATAACTTTTTGCTAAAATGCGGCATTATTATTGGTTTTAGATTTATGAAGTAAGTGTGTTAGAGTCTGCCGTTGCTTAAAAATTGGATGTTGCACTTCTGTCGCATGTAAATTCACACATATAAGAAAATATCCATCACAGACGAGATCTGAAGAAATTTACTTATTTTGCCGATCATACAGAATATCCATACGCAAAACTAAGTTTGACTTATGATAAAATAGTTTAATATTGCATAAAGCTAGCTTGGTTGTATTTTTGATAGCTTGGGAATTCGATAACACTTGTTATAATTGGTGAATTCATCGTTATGTACGTAACGATGAATTCAATTATCTGTGTTGGGATTATAAACATATGTGGCATTGGTATTTTTGTTCACAATTGATTTCCATCAAAACTAGAGGATCTTGTCGTCATTAGTTGACATTGAAAAAGTCAAAATTCGCATATTTACGTTTAAATCGTATTAATTCATGACTAAAACATCAAATTAGTTATGGAACGGTCAATTATGATATACTATGCCCGGGGATATAAAGAGTATGCTTTATTCATAGAATATTATAAATATTAAAAACATTTTTATACAATGCCAAAGAAATGCTGAAACCAAATGTATAGATTTTCAACAATACAAATCCTTTGAATAGTAAATTTTTGCAGATGAAAAGACATGAGCAGAAGACAAAATCTCAATCTCAATCTGATAGACTGAAAAGAAATGCCATATAGCTCATGGACTCAATCTGACCATTGTTCAATTAAAGCTTTCAAATTAGCTGCCCTCCGTTGAGTCAAAACACATGTTTCCCCTACAAATGTAAAAAAATTAGGTAAAGTAGACAATAGCTAGGCAAGTGACTGACTGTTTTAGTGGTATTATATATTTTATTATGTAGATCATGTAGACATGATCAAGGCAATCTCAGTTGATGTTGAATTATTTTGTGTGGCACTTTAAGCATCATAACATCATAGTAACGAAACTTTCTTCCAAGGTGATTTTTGTTCAGCGAATGTAAGTATTACTTTTTGCTTGTATATGTTCGGGTGTTACTGATTTTTATTATTGTGTAAACAACAACCACCAACTAAAACGTTCTAAAAAGTATGACCATTCTTATAAATATACACTATAATCCAAGTTTTACTTATGTATACATGATTTCGGTTTTGTGACAAAAAGTATTTACAAACATGTTACGGATTCACCTAATGTTTTTTTCATTGCAATGTGAATAATCACTGGAAATGACTACACAAAGTTGGTTAATACACTGCGTTTGTTATCATTATTTTTCTAATTTGAACAAAAAATTCATACAGAAATCCTCGTTCCTTTATGATGCTCAAGTTGAGATATATTTTTTCAGAAATGTCTTCAGTAACTGCAGGAAAAACACAGCCCATCAGGTTTTCCTCAGTTGAAATTTTCCTTTTAACCCAAAAATAATATATTTTCCTTCGTTTGTAATCCAATGTGTAAGTTGCTTTATATGACACATCTCTTATCAATGAAACGTTTTGCAATTTAAAAACGAATGATTAATTTTAAGACCATGTAAGTTTGCTTTGCTGTACATATTCTGAAGTTTTGTTTGATATTCAGAATATAGACACATATTACAGAAATATAAAGTATTTCATATACAAAAATAATTGATTGGATCTAAAGGTTACGCAATAAACTAAATATACATATGTAGTAACGGAGGTTTTTTATGCCTTATTCCAACAAATTTTGGTCTTGAAAACGAGGAGGAGATTGTTGAAAATATTTCACAGTATTATCTATCAATATATGTTCTTTTGTCTCAACAAAAAATAATCAGTGATACTCTGACTTCAAAAATCAGATTTTTCAAACCTGTATTGGGACATTTTTTGAATTTGGGTGTTTTCATTTAAATGATATCAAATACTCGTATGAAAGTTTATAGATATAATTTGAGAAATATTCAATCACTGACATACCATAAAATATTTTGATATAGCTACTATATTAAAACTGATCCGTATCAGACTTAATATCTAGTGACTATATTTGAAAGAGTCTAGAGAAAAACTGCGAATTTTACAGTGCTGGTTCTAACATATGCTTTATTACGCTACATATCCTTGTGAAAAGAATAAAGAACAACATACCTGCTCTCTGCGTATGCGCCACCTTTGACATTCCATCATCATAACAAGAAATGTATAATGGTAACTTCTCAGAACAAAAAGGATTCATACATAATCTTGTATATCTATAAACTTTTCAAAAATGGAAGCTCCCGATCAATCTAATCACTTTACCTAAACAATATATGTTAAATCGATATACTAGATAATAGGATTTGTGTCATATGTCATTTTAGCTCACATGGTGAGCTAGAGCTATCATTCACTTTTCCGTCTGTCTGTCCGTCAACAATAGTGGCACGTTTTAAAACCTCTGTCGATAGGATTCCTGTTTCAAGTTATTTTTGTTCAAAAGTAAATACCAGCAAAACCCTCCAATGACTCCCGGTTCAAAAGATCGCTTATTTGAAAATGGCCTATTTTCAAACAGGCTGCCATTTTTGTCTCGTAAAATTCACTGTTGGACCATTTTGTAGAAAACCTCTGTCAACAGGATTCCCGTTTAAACCTCACCTATTTTCAAAATGACCGCCATTTTTGCAAAATTCACTTTCACTTTTCAGCATTTAGTAGAAAGCCTGTGACGATAGCATTCCCGTTTTAAGTTATTTTTGTTACATCAATACCAAAAACCCTCCAATGACTCAGGTTCAAAGTCGCTACCATTTTTGTCTCGCAAAATTCCCTTTTTGGTAGGATTCCCGTTTTGATTAAGTTATTTTTGTTCAACATCAATACCGATCCCCCCATGCCTCCTGGGTCAAAAGCTCGCCAATATCAATACCGACCCCCCCCCCCCCCCATGACTCGGGTTCAAGAGCTCGCCTATTTTCAAAATGGTCGCCACCATTTTTGTCTCGCAAAATTCCCATTTTGGTAGGATTTCCGTCTAAATTATTTTTGTCCAACTTTGTTCAATATCAATACCGATCCCCCATGACTTCCGGGTCAAAAGCTCGCAATTCACAATTCACTTTTGGACCATTTAGTAGAAAATCTCTGTTGATTGAATTCTAGTTTTAGGTTACTTTTGTAAATTAACAATATAAGAAAGCCCCCTATGACTCCTGGTTCAAAAGCTTTCTTGATTGCGACTGTATTTGAATTTGTGACTATTGAACTGTGGTATTATGACATGACAGTGCTAAATGTCATTATTTGTACTTGGTTAACATCATGCTGAATAAATTTAACAATTTCCGAAACATTTTGATCATTTAAAAGAAAGAAATATTAATAAAGTAACACTTTGGATCTTTTAATAATTAGAAAAATTGGTACCTGCCCCGCCCATCCCTATCCCCATGTTCCTATAGCAACCATATTAAGACTTAATATTAATATTTGATGCTGAAACTTCAGAATATAATAGATAAAACTTTAATTGTTATATACACAAAATTTCAGCTGAATTGAAGAATATTAAAGAAGTTAGAGCATATAGTGCATTACTTCTGGGACAACCCTCGTAGAAGCCATATTCCGCGTGGCAATAACAATGATTAAGACTGGGATATGAGCTGATATTCTGCAAATGTATGCATAAAGGTATGTTTCATATGATTATTAAGAAAAATGTGAGGATGCCCTTTATTTAACGGCTGTTCAGCATATCACGGTTGATATTGGGTTATTTATTACAAACAATTCAAATCTACAAAATATAGGGTGTCCCAAAAAATGAGACTCTTTTTTGCCAAATATTTTCTCGACAACTGATAGTCCAAATACACTGAAAATTTGTAGCCTAAGAGTATCATTAGCAAAATTTAAAAATACTAAAAAGATCAAGTAAATATTCTGGGAGTACTAGGAAATTCAAAGGAGCATGTCAAAAATTCCCAAACCGAAGCTCAGCAATGAGACCTCCATAGTGTGTGTACCAATCAAGTGATAATAGTACCTGTCAATCAGTCAAATTAGCTTGTCTGTATGTCATGTCTAATCAATTCGTTTCATTCCTCCTAAATATCTAAAATCCATTCATTCTCAAAATTCATTGGAGGTGATATTGTTAAAATAAATAAAGAAAAGTATTTCTGCTTGGAAATGGGTGAATAAGTGACTTACATTGACTTGCCAAACAAACAATAAAAATCATAGAAATAAATAAAACACTTAACATACTTTAAATATTAAATTGATTATGTAGCTGGCTTCCGATGATGCCTCAATGATGAACGGGGTCTGTATTGTGCAAGATGATGGTCATTCATTGCCGGGACTGGACAAACAAACAATGAAGATGTAAGAAAGAAATAAAACATTAAACATACTTTAAATATTAAATTGATTATGTAACTGGCTTCCGACGATGCCTCAATGATGAACAGGGTCTGTATTGTGCAAGATGATGGTCATTCATTGCCGGGACTGGACAAACAAACAATGAAGATCTAAAAGAGAAGTAAAACATTAAATATACTTTAAATATTAAATTGATTATGTAACTGGCTTCCGACGATGGCTCGATGATGAACGGGTTCTGTATTGTGCAAGATGGTGGTCATTCATTGATGGGACTGGACAAACAAACAATGAAGATCTAAAAGAGAAGTAAAACATTAAATATACTTTAAATATTAAATTGATTATGTAACTGGCTTCCGACGATGGCTCGATGATGGACGGGGCCTGTATTCTGCAAGACGGTGGTCATTCATTGATGGGACTGGACAAACAAACAATGAAGATATAAGAAAGAAATAAAACATTAAACATACTTTAAATATTAAATCGATTATGTATTCCGACGATGCCTCGATGATGAACGGGGTCTGTATTGTGCAAGATGGTGGTCAATCATTGATGGGACTGGACAAACAAACAATGAAGATGTAAGAAAGAAATAAAACATTAAACATACTTTAAATATTAAATTGATTATGTAACTGGCTTCCGACGATGCCTCAATGATGAACAGGGTCTGTATTGTGCAAGATGATGGTCATTCATTGCCGGGACTGGACAAACAAACAATGAAGATCTAAAAGAGAAGTAAAACATTAAATATACTTTAAATATTAAATTGATTATGTAACTGGCTTCCGACGATGGCTCGATGATGAACGGGTTCTGTATTGTGCAAGATGGTGGTCATTCATTGATGGGACTCGACAAACAAACAATGAAGATCTAAAAGAGAAGTAAAACATTAAATATACTTTAAATATTAAATTGATTATGTAACTGGCTTCCGACGATGGCTCGATGATGAACGGGTTCTGTATTGTGCAAGATGGTGGTCAATCATTGATGGGACTCGACAAACAAACAATGAAGATATAAGAAAGAAATAAAACATTAAACCTACTTTAAATATTAAATCGATTATGTATTCTGACGATGCCTCAATGATGAACGGGGTCTGTATTGTGCAAGATGGTGGTCAATCATTGATGGGACTGGACAAACAAACAATGAAGATCTAAAAGAGAAATAAAACACAACATACTGTAAATATTAGATTGATCGCGTATGAACGGGGTCTGTATTGTGCAAGATGATGGTCATTCATTGATGGGACTCGACAAACAAACAATGAAGATATAAGAAATAAATAAAACATTAAACATACTTTAAATATTAAATTGATTATGTAACTGGCTTCCGACGATGGCTCGATGATGAACGGGTTCTGTATTGTGCAAGATGGTGGTCATTCATTGATGGGATTTGACAAACAAACAATGAAGATATAAGGAAGAAATAAAACATTAAAACATACTTTAAATATTAAATTGATCGTGTATCTGGCTTCCAACGATGGCTCAATAATGAACGGGGTCTGTATTGTGCAAGATGATGGTCATTCATTGACTTGGACTTGGCAAACAAACAATGAAGATCTAAGAGAGAAGTAAAACATTAAACATACTTTAAATATTAAATCGATTATGTAACTGGCTTCCGACGATGCCTCAATGATGAACAGGGTCTGTATTGTGCAAGATGGTGGTCATTCATTGATGGTACTCGACAAACAAACAATGAAGATCTAAGAGAGAAGTAAAGCGCAACATACTGTAAATATTAGATTGATCACGTATGGACGGGGCCTGTATTGTGCAAGATGGTGGTCATTCATTGATGGACTGGACAAACAAACAATGAAGATCTAAGAGAGAAATAAAACATTAAACGTATTTTGAATATTAAATTGATCGCTTATCTGGCTTCCGATGAAGCCTCAATGATGAACAGAGCCTGTATTGTGCAAGGTGGTGGCCATTCATTTATGGGACTTGACAAACAAACAATGAAGATAAAAGAGAGATATAAAACACTTAACTAAACACTCCTTCTTTAAATATTTAACTGATTGTGTATCTGGATTGCGATGAAGCCTCATTGTCAACGATGTACGTGGCCTGTATTGTAACAGACGGCGATGGTCATTTATTGATTGGACTTTACAAATAAACTATGACGATCTCGCTAAGAAATAAAATACTAAACAAATCGTAAATATAAATAGACTTCTTTTCTTTCCGATGACGCTTCGATGATGAACGGGACCTGTATTGTTCAAAATGCTCAAAATGATGAAATCTGCATGATTTTGAAAAAAATGTGGCCAGGGGGAGCGACTAATGGGTATTGGACGATTGGGACTCTAACCATAGGGATTCGGACGATTGTGATTCAGACCGTTGATATTCGGATTGGGATTTGGACCACTACACTGGTGATCCGCTCGATTACGCTGGTTACCGAAAAGGTTCGTTTTGGTAACAAAATATCGGAACGTCGAAGGTACGATTTTTCTTTTATCCTTATTTCACGCGTTGTAGGCAGAATCCACGCAACATTTTTCTCACAAACGTGTATCAGTAGCCTATGTTTTAGAAACATGTACATGTTTGCGACAAAGTAGCTCAGAAGACAACAGAATCCTCGATATAATTCGTCACTTAAGTTACATAAACGGTATGGTTAAAAGTGCAGATCTTAACTGTTTTTCGAAATACCGTTTATGTAACTTAACTCATTCGCTACGAATGACGTGATATGACGTCATAAAGCACATACGTTGACTACGAAGTACGTGATATCACGTCCAAGCACAAACCTAATGTATTTTTTGGAATCTTGTAACCATGACAACCTATAAATGGGACTTAAAAACCTATTGATTCTGAAAGAGTATATATCATATGTTTTAAAATGATATATAACACTACATATGTATGCCCATGTATATAATTTATATGTTATCTAAGAGGTAAGAGGTACCATATATGGCAATTTTCAAAAATTCTGCAGTATTTTAAGTGAGGAGTTAAATCGACGATTCTGTTGTCTTCTAAACCTTTTGTTTGTAAAAATGTACATTTTCTTAAACATAATTAAATATGCTACTGATACGTTTGTGATAAAAATGTCGTTGGAATTCTGCCTTTAACGTGTGAAATAAGGAAAAAGAAAAATCGTACCTTCGATGTTCCGACATTTTGTTACCGAAACGAACCGTTTCGGTAACCAGCGTAATCGAGTGGATCACCAGTGTAGTGGTCCAAAGGTCAAGTGGCTTGAAAAAAATTTCGAAATGCGACATTTTTATGTGTCTCCTCAAGTGTTACAAAAAGTACTTTAAACATTTTTTATTGAAAGAATGTCAGTTTTGTATTTATTTTTTAGGTAAATTATGACTTTTTGACTTTTATTGCTATACATTTATATGTTCACTCAAATCTAAATTAAGTACCCAGTGATGTGATTTTAGGCTTGACTCGCACTCGTTTTCATCCTGACACGTTATTTACAAAATGAAGTTTTCTGGCAAAGGAATCATTGTCACAGGATCGAACAGTGGGATTGGTAAAGCAACTGCGCTGTTGTTTGCCAAGCAAGGAGCTAGTGTTCTAATACATGGAAGAAATCTAGACAGACTCGAACAAACAGTAGCTGAATGCAAACAAATTGGTGCCGAAAATGCCAAGTTCCCAATGGTCCAAGGAGACTTTCGGGAAAAGGAAATTATTCCGAAACTCGTTCAAACAGCTGTGGATGAATTCGGCAGAATTGATGTTCTAGTGAACAATGCTGGGGAAAACCCAAGTTCCTCTCTCTTGACAGGAACTGAAGAGGACTTCGACAGGCTCATTAATATGGCGCTTAAGCCTCAGATATTTCTATCTCAGCGTTGTTTTCCAGAGTTGAAGAAAACCTGTGGAAACATTGTTAGTGTATCCAGCTTTGCGGCCGCTCGCCCGACAAACCTCGATTGGTCGTTCGTAACTGTAGCACATGCTGGGCTGAATCAATTTACACAGTGTGCTGCCATAGAATTCGGCTCTGATGGTGTTCGAGTGAATGCTGTATGTCCAGGATTTGTGAAAACACTTGCGCCTGTTAAACAAGGAGATTTAAGTGTTGAAGAATTGGATGGATTTTATGAAAACGTGTCACAGTATGTCCCAATCAAAAGACTGGGAACTGCAGAAGAGACGGCTAAATTGATCGTATATTTGGCTTCCGATGATGCCTCAATGATGAACGGGGCCTGTATTGTGCAAGATGGTGGTCATTCATTGATGGGACTGGACAAACAAACAATGAAGATCTAAGAGAGAAGTAAAACACAACATACTGTAAATATTAGAATGATCGCGTATGGACGGGGCCTGTATTGTGCAAGATGGTGGTCATTCATTGATGGGACTGGACAAACAAACAATGAAGATCTAAGAGAGAAGTAAAACACAACATACTGTAAATATTAGATTGATCACGTATGGACGGGGCCTGTATTGTGCAAGATGGCGGTCATTCATTGATGGGACTCGACAAACAAACAATGAAGATGTAAGAGAGAAATAAATCATTAAACCTGAGACTAACATAAAAATTAAACATACTTTAAATATTTAGTTGATCGTGTATTTGGCTTTCCTTATCTCCTAACTGGTACAACGGAGATTTCGTGTCAACACTTTAGTCTACTAAATAAATGTTCAAAACTCATATATGTGAGCGTTATAACATGCAGGGGCATTTCATACAGCCTATAAACACCGCCCTTTCATCAAATGTGTTTTCTGGTTTCTTTAATTTCGCCAATTTCTTAAGAAATTGATGGATAATTTCAAGATTATATGATCAGACACATAAACATGGCATATACCACATACGTTTCTCATATTTTGTTGTTGTTTTTAGTTGTTGTTTTTAGTTGTTGTTTTTTGTTGAACCATATATTACGTACAAGGATAACTGTATTTTATTTACAAGAAGGCTGCATCTTGTATTAGACCAAAACATAGCATCAAGTTTCACAAGAGCTACTTAGAACACTTCTTATCAGATGTGTTGACAGCTCTTCTGATAAAGTACCATTTGCATTCGTTTGACTTCACTTCTTAAAAGAGAGCTTAACTAGACTCTGCAAGCAGGGTACTGATAAAGAAAGTGACTGGTAATTTCTGGATTTGACGTAAAGTGAATATACACTGTATTGTCTATAGACATCCTGTAACAAAAATTACATTCCCAGTATTACTCGGAGTCTCGGTTTGGAGATCAGTCTCCTTGGTTAATAAATTTTTATGCAAAATATAAAAATATCACCCAAATTAAATTATGAATATTAAAAAGAGGACATTTGAATCTACGAGATGTAAAAATATCAAAATTGTCTGAAGCAGGCGTAATGTGCAGTAGACCGATTCTATAAAAGACAAGTTTCAATTTGGAGAAAAAGTTCATCAGTGTACTGTGCTAATATTTTTTTATGAAAAATATAGAAATATCGCCAAAATTAAATTATGAATATTAAAAAGAGGACATTTAAAAGTCAAAATTGTCTGAAGCAGGCGTAACATTCAGTAGACCGATTCGATAAAAGACGAGTCTCGATTTGGAGAAAAAGTTCATCAGTGTACCAGTGTACTGTGCTAGTATTTTTTTATGAAAAATGTAGAAATATCACCTAAATTAAATTATGAATATTCAAAAGAGGACATTTAAATCTACAATATGTAATAATACCAAAAGTGTCCAAAACAGGAGTAACGTGCAGGAGACTGATGAACTTCGTTCTCCAAACAGAGACAAGTCTTTTGAAATTAACAAACATATACAGGGGGTATCAAAAAACGCAACAAGCAGTTATCTTGTAAAATCACAAAACAAGAGATGACTACATCCAATGTACCATAAAGCCATATCCCTCTTCTTCGCAATGATATGTCATTCAATCACATGTGGTCATGGTTGGATGAGAAATCCTTCCATTTGCACAGTGGGTCAAAGTCGGCTCTGGACCAAGTTTCAGATATTGCAAAAGGCAGTGCAAGGGCTAAGTGCTGATGGGAGTCCTCCCGACCTGACTTTTTCTTTTGGAGCTATCTCAGGAGCAGAGTGTTAACCGTTTCTCTACCAGATATTGCAAATGGAGAAATAATTGCCTTAATGGGCTGCTGTTTTCCGCCTTAACCCACAGATGACTCCGGGCTAAACCATACATGACATGGAGAGATGGAGCTGGAGAGATGAGCGCATCTTTGTGTGCTAAGAAGTGGTGGCCATTTGGAGGGGTATAGGATGTATTCTTGCAAGAGTATGAGTATGAACACATTATTGTCTATGCCACACCTGTCACACCTCTTTCCAATAGCCCTTATGCCCTGACTTTTGCAATGTTTAAAATATGGGTCCGAGCTGAATTTTTCCCCACTTTGCGAAATTAATAATTATTCAACCATCCATGACTCCGTGTGAATGAATGACATTCCATTGAAAAGAAGAGTAATTTGGCTTTTTTGGTACAGGTTGCAGTTATCATTGGTTTTATGTTGACTTCCAATATTGCATCGGGCCCCGTACACTGACTTCCGCGATGCTTATAACTTGGTTTATAACCATGACCCAATATCAACGAATGATTTACCATTGGAAAGAGGAGACACCTGGTTGTATGGTACATAGAATGAAATTAATGCTGTAACCACTGGTTTTGTGCTTTTCCGAGATAACAATTTGTTGTGTTTTTTGATACGCACTACTAAATTATTGTATACTCACGCCCGGTGATCGTACAAAATGAATGGAGGGGATTAGGTGATTTCTGCAAAACTCAAAATATTTGGAAGATTTATTTTTTCAAGAGAAAATTTACAACTGAATTGCCAAATGAATAGGCGCAGTGCATGGCAAAATATATTAGGCCATCTAGTATTTTTTTGAACTGATACCCTTCTAAAATATGAGATCTATTAAAAAAGGCGCGTCATCACCAATGTGCAAAAGTCAATGTTTTTGCTATAAATCGGGCAACAATGGTCTACACGACCTGTAATAAATAGGTATAAGGGGCGTTATTATCACAATACTAATGACATTGCTCACTTTTTAAAGTTAGTTTCCATGCGTTATACAAAAAAATAATCGAAATAAATTAATATTGGATGGAGGGGGATAGGATGGAGGGGGGGGGGGGGGTAATGTGTATATAAGACATGATAAGACATGCTACTTGAATTTATTCTTATGACTCCAAATTTTCCGATTTTTCATTCTCCAGAGATATAATATCCAGTTTCTTTCTGGGGTACTGAGTTTAGTTTTTTTCAAATACACGAGTTCTTGTGAATTTGTTCTATCGTAAAGACATATAAATCCCCCCTCCATCCTATCCCCCTCCGTCCAATATTAATTCATTTCAATTATTTTTTGCATAACGCATGGAAACTAGCTTTAAAATGTGAGCAATGTCATTAGTATTGTGATAATAACGTCCCTTATACCTATTTATTACAGGTCGTGTAGACCATTGTAGCCCGATTTATAGCAAGAACATTGACTTTCCTCTTGAATTTATCCTCAAAACATCATTTTGTAAGAAATCTTAGGATTTTACACAAAAATATTTATTGCAATTAATTTTATTTATTTATAAACTTTGATAAAATATAAAGTACCGTATATACTTATAAGTAGAAGAAAAAATGTTTATGGTGTAATACCATAATTCTGTATTGGTAATAATTTTACTATTATGTTTATCTATAGACAAAGTATTTATAATGATGTGTTTTATGAATATTCATACATTCAACTCTATTTTCAAAGAACATTATATAATGAATATGCAGTATGACATATGTATGATGTTTATTTGACTAGTGAAAGTTGCATTTCATTTAAAATATTAAAATGACTCCAAGACTCTAAAATGATTGTCCAAAGACACTTCTTCATCATCAAAATGCAGAGTATCTGTGACTGTAATTCCTAGCCTTTTCAACTTTGAAACAAACTTCTTTTTCTCTTGGCCAATCCATGGTCTGTTCATATCTTTAACTTGGTAAGGAGTAACATGTACATGGATTTTAATTTCTGTATCTTTCAGACTTCGAAGTACTTTGTCATCATTTATCCATGTATTCGACCCACCCGAGTGCCCTCCATCCAACCAATACATTGACTCAATCTGCTTTACAAAATCACTGAAAGAAGGGTTCAACTTTGCTAATTCCAACTCATAGAGAAATTGGTTAAGCACAACACAACCTTTGCTGAATCCTGTTAGAACTAAAGGCAAGAGTTCTTTCTCTTTCAAGCATGATTTATTTTTGTTCTCTTCACTACCATTTCCTATTGCACTTGATTTTCCAGTTGTTATTCGCTCCTTCAATTCCTTAAAACAGTTCATAATCAAACATATTAAATGTTTTAACCCTCCATAATCCGCGATATGGTCTGGAGATCCAAAATCATTAGAAGGCACAAAGTTTTCAAAGACACTAAATGTTCGTAAATGCATACGGCTAGGTTTTACAATAAATATGTTACTATCCTCAAAATGTTTATGTAACAATGTGGCCGTGTTTTCTAAATTCCATTCTCTGTAACTCTTGATTTCTCCTCTTTTTGGCATTTCTTCAGGATAATTCTGAAATGACATTTATATTTTTTAATGCATAATGAATGTTTTTAAAGTGATTTTAGTTAAGTTTCTTTAAGCCATGTATATAAAGTTTTAATTCTTGAGTATAGACGCACCCATTGAGAGTGCCACTGTTACAAATAGTGTAGTGTCTAAATAAATAAATAAAAAATAAAAAAATAAAATAAAAAATAAAAATATGTGATTGAACAATTGGGCCCAAAACTTTTTGAAGGATCATCTAATGGGCCTTTTTGGACAAAATGGACCTTTTAAGGCCAGGGCAAATAAATAGGAAAATGGGCCTTAAATTTTCAAAATTTGGGCCCACTTTTGGTTTTAGGGGCCCAAATTAGGTGCGGAAATTTGTTTCAGACTTCACATATGCCCCCCCCCCCCCCCTCTGTCCTCCTTGGTTCCTGGATCTGACCCTGAAAACATCATGTTCGATTCTTCAGTTGTAAAATAATTTCGTGAAATCTGGTTTAGCTTTCAAATGATGCAGCTTTTAAATGTGAACCATTTTAAACCATGCATCTAAAATATGAAATTCATATAAAATATGAATATTAAGTCAATAAGCAGACGGTAGTACAATAGTAAACATAAGCAGACAATAGTAAACATAATTATAATATTTTTCTATGACTAGGAGGAAACCAGGTAGAATACTGCAGACTTTGACCAAATTTTTTCAGGAAGAAAACTTGATTGTTGTAAATACAGTGCACTTTATGACAGCATTTTCTGATGGAAAATTTTAATTTCTCAAAAATCAATGTTCAATCATGGGCTTTCCTTCACTGTGTGCATGAAAGCCATAAAAGGACCTCCCTCATACTGATATAAGTATTAAAGGTGCAATAATTAGTGCAGAGGGGTCATTCAACGATCATGGACCAGTGTCAAAATATATTTAAGTTTGGATATTTCATCAAGACTAACATCTATTTTTATTATCTACAAAGAAACCCCCTAGATAAACATTATTTTAGCTGATATTCCTCTTGAAACATGGTGGATCTTAAAAATATAAAAGTGGAAGTCCCCTTTTTGAAGCTTTGAACTGAATTTACACTTCTTTATGCTGAAATTGATAATTTATCCATACATTTTAAGAAAATAGGTATGTCAAAGAAGATGTTTAACCAAATGTTGCCTTGATAGCTCAGAAAAAATAAAAAAACGTTCCTATTTTCTCTACAGTCCTTATTGCCCCTTTAAGTGTTGAATATGTTAATTTCTTATTCTTCAGCACTAAAAAGGAAAATTTAATGACCAAGAATCTTGCGCATGTACCTGTATGTCACCTCCAAAATAAATAACATTTTTTGTCGCAGTAGCAGAATGAATGAATATGACATCATTCTTTCCATTACATCCTCCAATGTCTTTCAACCTAATAGGTGTTTTTGCCATATTTCCCAGCTGTCGTAGAGTAATTTCTCTGGAGTGTCTGAGGTTTATCTTGTGAAAATCTGAAATAAATTGCAAATTATCAGACTTACAGTACCCCCATAAATGTGGGTTTGATTTTTTATCACCCCCACAACTACTTGTGTATTGAAAACATGGGGTTGTTAATTGTTGTCAGTTGTTGAGCCAAAGCTAAATTTTATCAAAATAGCTTATTTACAACCCCAAGATTTCGATAAGTTACACAAGTTTGTGGGGGAGATTTGGGGGTGATTTGTTCCCACTTCATAACATGGTCCATAATTGACATATCAATACGTTTTTTGCTCTAAAACTTTTCAAAGTAGTCTTAAATGCTCAATCGAAAGTATGACATACATTTCATCAATGATTCTTTTCTAAATATGACGAATACAAGACAACATTCGATTTATTTTTTAAAAAACTTTGTACCGGAAACGCCTCCATTTTATAACTTATAAGTATTCCGTATTTTGTTTCCAAATATTGAAAATCAACTAATTATCACTATTTGAGTATTTACAAACGATATTCAATCATAAATAATATATATTTTATAGCTTTTATGAGAAATTTATTTGAGACATAGATATAATAGCATAAAAGAAGTTGTGAAAACGATATATACACTGCTCCTTTAAAATTAAAATTTACCAAATCCCTTTCCCAAAACAGCACTGATATCTTCAATTAGGTGAGTTACAAAGACTCTTGTTATCCAAAAAACAATCTGCAATAAACTGATCTATTCAAGAAGAGATTGGACACATCTGTGATGAATAAACGTACTGCATAAGGCAAAGTGTGACATTGATTGACATTGATAATTTTCATGAGCTTTCATTTTCAAAAAAGCTACAGTAAAATTTAAGGTGCCATGATACTTAGGTGCTATGAAGAGGAGGGAAAGCACCAGAGCTTTAGCGATGACTGTCATAATACGTCTCTTGCGTACCACCTTCGTTTGCGCAAATTCTCACCAGTTAATTTTCGAACATAATTTTGGAATCCGCCATTTTAGTTTTAGACTATATCCTATTTAGTCTGAATTATATTCAGACTATAAGGCACCTATGTTAAAGTTTGGTAATTCTAAATATTTGTTTACATAGGAAGTGCTATTCAAAATGGCCGATTGGGTAAAATTAATTTGCACATTTGTTTCTTCAACTAGCTTTATTTCCACTTGACAATATGGTGTGTTACTTTTTATTGCATTTAATTGTACCTTACTATTTAATTGAAATTTTGGAATGTTTATTTTATTGAAGAAATGGTTCCTCTAATTGATAATTTTGTGCAAAAAATTTCACTGCAATTTCCACAGGAAAGTAGTACATCATAACAGACTGACTTCTAGTCAGTCTGTTGGATACATACTAATTTTAGTTTATCGATTTGGACCAATCAGAGGTATATGTCATCTCAATACAGGTTTACATTATAAGTGTATTTTTAAATCAGTTTTTTCATTTTTTTTCCTTTTTCTATTTATGATATCAAATTTTCAGAGATTGTATCATTTAGAGCAATATATTGGGCACATTTTCTGAAAAATTCAAAAGATTCTGTTCAGTGACCTTTCCTACCTCGTACTTTTAGCTATTTTTCAGTCACATTTTCAGAGGGCTGAAAAGGTTATTTCATCATGTTTAGGGTCATTCTGACCATGAACATAGTGAACAGAACTTTTGCCCCCCTCGGGCCTATGTACATGTCCCTATAGTCTACTTCTGACAGCATGAGTCATGACAGTCGAAAAGTGAGATTTCTGAAAATGTTCAAATCACATGAATCACGCCGGTCCAACTTTCAGTATTGAAACCAAATACCCCAGGAAAATCCTTTAATTTGAATTAAGGCCAGGGTGCATGTTCAGAATTTTTCTGCATTCCTCAGTTGAGTCACATGTTATTTTTCAAACAGGAATCACTGCTTCTACACATTGTAAAAGTGAGAGAAAGTAAAAGTAGGGAACACCCTGATGACCATATATTATATAATATATATAATAATAATAATATAATATAATAGAAAGAATATTATCTATCCACAATCCACATGTGTTTATGTATTGCTTAGTTATATTTGGAATGCAAATACTATAGTATTATAAAATCCCAATAAATCTTGACGATTTCAGGTAAAGCGATTGCAGGGAGACCACATAGGCAGATGGCAGCACGGGTATGTTATCATCAGATTCATTATTTAATCAATGTTTTTGATAAAAATTCTCTCAATCCTTGTGATGACCAGAGTATTTTATATTGTGATCTTTATATATTCAAATCCAACAGGTTTCCCTATTATTCGGTAACTCCTGAATTTCTCCATTCATTTTTATGTCATCGGGGTACAGGGTAATATATCATTTGTGTATAGCCTCAACCCCATTATCCACTTTACCAGTCATCTAAAAAATTCTGATATAATATATAGTGTTCCCCACAGGATGTTTTCTCAAGTGGGTGCAAATTTCCCATTTTCACATTTCAACTGGGTGCATATGAATTCTCAGGTGGGTGCACCCACTTGCTTTAATGCTGGGGAGGTCACTGTAATAACTTAACCACACAGGAGTAGTAAAATCACTGCAAAATGCAGGTCATGCAGAATGACACTGTCGGAAATGGGATTATCTTCAAAAAAATATCCAAAGTACAATTAATTACTTAACTACAATGGGATTAGAATTATTATTGTGGAAAGTCATTTGGTCAAACTGAATCAATGCAGTATTAATTAGTCTAAACCTCCCATACTGAAGAAAAGTTGCAATAAATGATTGACATTTTTTGTAAAGAATCCATTTTTTCCTGGAGATCAAACTTTTTGTAGAAATTAATTTTTGATGGATAGCAATTAAGCCTGGCAATTAAGTTCTCTGGTTTTAAACCTTCATTGATTTTGTTAAAACTAAAAAAATGAAGAAAATAATAAATATTGAGATTTGATGTTTTCAATTTGTTCATTAGGCACTGAACAGGAAAACACTTAATGTGAGTAAATAGTGCAAAGGACCAGGTATTGTTGTCAAGTGTTTTTAGACAGTCATATCTTTATTACCTACCATCTGTATTTTCTTACCATAAAAGCAACATTTCCAATTAAACAATGTGTTTTTCTCCAAGCAAAGTCCCCATGAAAAGAAAATTATCAATTCAACTCTGATAAATCATGAATGGATATTTTTATTATTCAGCAGGTAACTTAGAACAAAACACATTGTTCCATGAGAAATGCCATATTCAAGGTTAGAAAACTCTGATAGTCAAAGATATAACTGATTATAAATCACTTAACATACAATACCTGATTCTCTTTATTTTTTCATGAAAATATTGAATTTGAAATATATTAATACACTCACTGTAATGATGCATAGCTACGTGTTGTATAAGATTTACAATTTCAAAAATTGTGGTATGAAATGTAGGCTAGTGCTAGTGCTAGTGCTAGTGCTAGTGCTAGTGCTAGTGCTGGTGAGCAATTATTCCTATTTAATCTAAACCAAGAAGGGAAAAAGCTTGAGCTTTGCTTTGCTTGTCCAAATCTGATAATCGTTGATATTTGGGTTTTATATTCTGATGTATATTGTGCTAACAGTGTGGTCTTTAGAATCTTTAGGGTTAACTTTGATAAATTTGTCAACTGCAGTTGTAATTTGACAAAATTTTAGTGTGCATGGATTTGCGAGCATGTGTTTCATCTCACTATTTTGGATTTGTGTTTTAGAGCAAACATAGTTTGCTAAACTAAAAATAGACTAAATAAATAAACTAAACTAAACTAAACTAAACATAGAATAACTAAATTGATTTTTAGTTTATAGCCATATAGAACCATAATTCTGGTGCTTGTCTGTCTACTGTTTTCTATGCAGATGTAATGTGCCTAAATTGTCACATTTGTAGACGATATTGCTATGAGAAACAATATGAAAGAATGAAATAAAAAATAAAGTTGACATTCTTCTTAAAGGTATTGACAAACACTGTCAGAAGGTAAACTGAAATGATTCAAAATGTTAAAGCATAATTGCAAATAGCTACAAGCTAATTTCCTGCCCAACTCACGAAAAATATGAAAAATAGAATAAAACAATGTAAAGTACATGTTATATATCATCCTACCGAACGAAGTTCGAGAGGGATATACAAAAGCTGTCTGTCCGTACATCCATTTGTCCATCTGTCCAGGTAATAACTCAAATACCGGACTTAAAAAGTGATTTTAGAGATTTTTGAACAAAAAATATTTTTTGAAAAAAAAAGTTGTGAGCATTTCATTTCTCAAATATTCAAATTTCCCGCCATTTTTCAATTTCTTAATCATCAAATATTTCTTAATGCATTTCAAAAAAGATTATCTTTTTAACACCAATGCAAAGATTGAACAAAGGACACACTATTTCAATAATAAAATGCCTTATTTAATGGGCCACTTCAATGTTTTAGCATATCAAAAATATTTTGAAACATTAGTGATGTCACTAAGGTAGCAAAAACTTTTTGAAAAAAATTGAAATTTTTTTTTCGATGTCAATCTTTTCTAAATATGCTAGACTTTCATAAAAAACCAATGTTGATTGTCTAACCAGGTTAAAAGGAAGAATAAATTATGTTTTAGATATCATTGTACCATTGGTTTCTATGAGAACTAAAATTTTGAAATACATTTTTCTCAGAACCATTTTCATGCACTGATAATTTCATTTCTCGCTTATTTATGAACCGATTTTCCTAATTTTTTCGGCAAAAAACATGGGAGGATGAATGCTATGCATCGGTATGAATTGTGGCTAATCAGAAGATATGAGTGACCTCTAAAAGTTGGTTTTAAATAAATTCACAAATTTTGGAACAAAAAGTCTATCAAAAACCACTTTTTGAAATTTAAAAAAAAGTTTCACATATCACACTTTGATAACATTGGGTAAGACTACAATATAAGCCAAAGTGGTTTAAACTTTATATGGGGCCTTTAAGAAGATATTTTCAAGATGGCCACTGAATTTCAAAATGGCCACCATTACGTAATCTTTGATAACTCAAATGGCGTTGAACTGATTTAGTTCAAATTTTATATGCTGATTGCTCAGGACATAGTAGCTCCCTTCGAGAAAGAACTTTCAAGATGGCGACTGAATTTTAAAACGGCCGCCATTTTGCGTAAAAAAACATAATCTTTGATAAGTCAAATATGAGTGAACGGATTTGGTTAAAAAACTTAATGTTTGATAACTCAAATATCAGAGAATGGATTTGGTTCAAATTTTATATACAGTACACGTATCTTCAAGAAGAAAGATTGCAACTAAATATCAAAATATGTTTTGTTGGGTGGGATTTGCTACTCCTTTGAGTTGCTGTTTTTCTAGTTTATTATTAAGAGATTAATATCTGTGCATCTTTCCCATCATCTGGTGAAAGTGCCTGATCTTTCATGGCATGTGATCTTTTTTGGCAATCCATATAACTGCAAATATTAAAATTCAGCTTTAATTTCAGTTGATATGCACAACTGCAAATATTAAAATTCAGCTTTAATTTCAGTTGATATGCAGCCGCCACCGTATGGTTGCGTATCTGCCAAACTTCCGTGCAGCCGTGAGACATCTGCGAGCCTTTTCCTCATATGATGAGAATCAACCCAACGTTCAGTACTATGATGCTAATGGGAAACCTATAGGTAAGTGAATAACACTAAATCCTAGGCCTTTCCTCTGACTAATACAGATTACAATCAGTCAACGTTCAGTACTATGATGCTAATGGGAAACCTGTTGGTAAGCGAATAACACTGCTTGTATCCATCCTAATCCCAGCTCATAATGTCAAAATATCGTCATGATTTTCTGACAACATTTTCTGATTGGATAATTAGCTCGATGAAAGCTTATATTGCTTTAAGAAATGAAAAAATCTTGGAATCTGGTTTAGATAGGCAAAATCATTTTAATCCTGCATGGTGCTAACTATAGGAGTATGTGTGCAGTAGATGTAATATTTGTTTATTTTTAAGATTATTTATTTGTCTGATTTGATGCTAAATTTTGGTGTGATAGTCAATAAAGTCCACAATTCCAATTGATCAGTGAACACTTACAATTTTAACATTGTTTCAGAAGGTACGATATGGCCTGACAAACATTTGGGACCATTCGGTCCCAGTGACAAAAGGTTCCCAATGCCTGGCCTAGTTGGGACGACAGTCACTGAAAAGACTGAATCGTCTATCAAGGCCAAGGACCCTGATACAGTTCACACTATATTGCCCGACAACCACAAGAACCAGACTGTGCAGGACTTCTTGGACATGGCTGAGGAGGTCAGTTCTAAACACTCAATCATCCTGAATTGTTTGGGGTTATTTAATAGACATTACTTCTTTACATGTTAGATTATAGTTTGGGATATTTGGGGTTTGTTTTCCTTATGACTGGTTTTACTCTTAGATGTTTCATTTGCTTGCTCTTTTGGAAGCACCTGTAGTATTTTCCCTATAGCCATTTTCTTGCTATTTTTAGTCATTTCCCTTGATCATTTTATATTTGTCTTCTGTATGTCTTCTACATGTATTTGACTTTTTAGGCCCTTATTGGATATAAATAGGCACATGCAAAAATTGTAATTCGGTCATTGTGTTAACCAACAGATACAATTTTTCATACAAAACATTCTTGCCAAGTCTCGCATTGTTTTCAAGTCTTGCATTGTTTTCAAGTCTTGCATTGTTTCCAAGTCTTGCATTCAGTATCCTTAAGTCTTGCATTGTTTTATTGAAGGTTGCTGAAGAAGGATTTATTAGTGAACCCCAGCCATCAGCCTTAGACACTTTGGAGTGTGTGGCCCAAGACTGTCCTGATCTTATCAAGAAAGGTACTACAATAAAACCTGTCTTATCTGAATACCACCAGGACACACTAAAAATCATACTGTATTTTGAGGCTTTTATGCCAGATTAAAAATAGGACCAAAAGAGATGTTCTGATAAACAGGTTTTACTGTTTTCAACTATTCATCTTTTAGATAGGTTTGGATTGTTTGATTGAGTTTGATTAATATTTTTGGGTATCCCGAGGACTTATGTGGAAAACATATAATTTTAAGGAACAATATCATATTCATGGTATTCATGGTCAGATTATGACTGTCTAGAATCTGTTATACCATACATGGTTCTTTCAAGAATATGAAATTTTACAGTCGATAATATCTCATTTTTAAAAAATGATACCTTTTGCATAAACTTATTGAATAAAGTGGCAATATGATGTTCCTATAGATTTTATGGATCTGTTCCCGGGGCAAGACGTTTGCAGTGGCCCATTCACTGTTATTACCATCAGCCAGAAGACCAAGAATGATATGACCTCTTGGAGTGAGGATGTGGAGGAGGAAAGAGAATCACTCCTGGAAAATGTGAGTTTAATATGGATGAATAATGAAACACATGGTCTCTACACTGGGGGTTTTACTTGAATTTCTCACAACAGGCTAAATAATTGAAAACAACAGGCAATATTAATGGAAATCATAAATTTAACATGGAAAAGTTGAAAAGGCCCTAAAAACAACAGGCGATTTTGTGAAAACAACCAGTGAAAATCACCTGCTGCTAATGAAACCCCTGACACTGTATTTCCACTGCTGGCTTTATTCTTTATTTATTCTTATTCTTTATTACAAACATGCTATGTTGTCATGGTTTTCAGCCTTATGTTTGCCGTTTCAATCTCTCATTTTATGTTAACTATCGCATACTCTAAACTGTGTGTTTGTTGTCTTTCAGTTCATCATTGGTGCCAAGGAGATCTGTGAATCTCTCCAGGCTGCTGGCTATTGGGCAGACTTTGTAGACCCTTCCTCTGGCAGACCTGTAAGTTTATACATTGTAGACCCTTCCTCTGGCAGACCTGTAAGTTTATACATTGTAGACCCTTCTTCTGGCAGACCTGTAAGTTTATACATTGTAGACCCTTCCTCTGACAGACCTGTACGTTTATACACTTTGTAGACCCTTCCTCTGGCAGACCTGTAAGTTTATACATTGTAGACCCTTCTTCTGGCAGACCTGTAAGTTTATACATTGTAGACCCTTCCTATGACAGACCTGTAAGTTTATACATTGTAGACCCTTCCTCTGACAGACCTGTAAGTTTATTCATTGTAGACCCTTCCTCTGACAGACCTGTAAGTTTATTCATTGTAGGCCCTTCCTCTGACAGACCTGTACGTTTATACACTTTGTAGACCCTTCCTCTGGCAGACCTGTAAGGTTATACATTGTAGACCCTTCCTCTGACAGACCTGTAAGTTTATACATTGTAGACCCTTCCTCTGACAGACCTGTAAGTTTATACATTGTAGACCCTTCCTCTGGCAGACCTGTAAGTTTATACATTGTAGACCCTTCCTCTGGCAGACCTGTAAGTTTATTCATTGTAGGCCCTTCCTCTGACAGACCTGTAAGTTTATACATTGTAGACCCTTCCTCTGACAGACCTGTAAGTTTATACATTGTAGACCCTTCCTCTGGCAGACCTGTAAGTTTATACATTGTAGACCCTTCCTCTGGCAGACCTGTAAGTTTATACATTGTAGACCCTTCCTCTGGCAGACCTGTAAGTTTATTCATTGTAGGCCCTTCCTCTGACAGACCTGTACGTTTATACACTTTGTAGACCCTTCCTCTGGCAGACCTGTAAGGTTATACATTGTAGACCCTTCCTCTGACAGACCTGTAAGTTTATACATTGTAGACCCTTCCTCTGACAGACCTGTAAGTTTATACATTGTAGACCCTTCCTCTGACAGACCTGTAAATGTATATATTGTAGACCCTTCCTCTGACAGACCTGTAAGTTTATACATTGTAGACCCTTCCTCTGGTAGACCTGTAAATTTATACATTGTAGACCCTTCCTCTGACAGACCTGTAAGTTTATTCACTTTGTAGACCCTTCCTCTAGCAGACCTGTAAATTTATACATTGTATTTGACAGACATGTACATTTAAACTTGTAGACCTTTTATTTGGCAGCTTTGTAAGTTCAAACTTTGTAATCCTTCATTTGTCAAATTTCTCGGTTTCATCGGGTTGAATGTCAGTGAACAAATATTTTTTGTTGTTATTATTTTCTGTAGTTTTTCCTGTCTTATCTTAATCAATTTCTTCATTTTCATATTACTTCTCATGACATTGTTGCATTCTCTTGAAAATAAGCAATCAGTATTTTAATTTTTCAATCAAACAAAATCCAAACAACCAGATGTTTTTAAATTCAATTCAATTTATCTTGATCATTTAACTATTGTATTTCTTTTCAGTACCTTGGGCCATACACGAATGCCACATTGTATGAGACAGATGAAAGATACAGACATTTTGGATTTAAAATCAACGACCTAGGTTGTTGCAAAGTGATAAGTCACCACCTATGGGGGGTTCACTCTTATATAGGATGTCTCTTCACAAATGCTCCCTATGATCACCCAATACTGGACAGTATGAAAGATTTCTCTGATGATGAAACTGTTTAAAGAGCTTTGTTTATTTGGAACATATGGACATCAAATTCAGATTTTAGATATTTTTTGAGATTTAGTTTGATATAAAAGTACATTGATGACCTGATGCATGTATATATTGCATTTGAAAATGCTTATGGTTTTGCCATTAATAGTATTTATTCAAACTAGAACATGCTGCATTTAATATTTTTATGATAACTAAAAATCTGAGTTTGATGTGTGAAATGTTCAGTCTATGATGATTATATATTTTTATGTTCTAACAGCAATTTTAGTAGTGCTCTCAACCGCAACTGACATTTAATGAACTGCCAACATTTTGCTAAGGGTAAATGTAATGTCTATTTTCTTTGGATAGTTGTCATTAGACTGCTACAAGAATTGTAATTTAATACAATGTATATTTGTGTTGTTAAGTACATTATCTTGATTAAGAGGAGAGTTACATATAAATAAACCTATGTAAAATCATTATTCATAAAATGTGGTGTTCTAAACTTTCGATGAAATGACCTTGATCTTAATTTGATTTAGGACTGTGTTTTCAAATCTAAATCCCTTTAATTGGCAGTCATTATCAACTCATTTAAATTCATAAGAAGCCATCGCTTATAAACTCTTTTATAAACGTTGTGTATAAGAACAGTAATAAACAAAGAACAAAATATAACAAAACATGGCCTGAAGTCATATTACTATCTTATCCTCCTTATAAATATTAGAATTGATCAATTAAGTAAACATTTCTATTCGAATAAGAACATCTTTCAGCGAAATGCCAAAATCCAATTTATAAGGTATAGGTATTTGTATAAACATTAGTTATGCTTTCACTTATATGAACGAAATCTCTCTAATTTTTGAGGGGTTGTACTTATAGAAGTCCCAAATCCCACCTAGTGATCCAATCAAACTTCATTGACCATGTTCGGGTTTCTGGGCCATGTTCGATTTTTCTGTGCCATGTTCGGTTTTTCTGGGCCATGTTCGGTTTTTCTGGGCCATGTTCGGTTTTTCTGTGCCATGTTCGGTTTTTCTGGGCCATGTTCGGTTTTTCTGGGCCATGTTCGGTTTTTCTGGGCCATGTTCGGTTTTTCTGGGCCATGTTCGGTTTTTCTGTGCCATGTTCGGTTTTTTGGACCAATTGCCCTTTGAGGTTCATGCATGAATAGATTCTCATTGATGGGCTGCAGTGGAGTAAAATTCTATTGAGTACGGTCCAATGTACACAAAGGTACAGTTCAGGAATAATCACCACTGTATGATGCCTTATTTTATAATTTTAAATGTTAAGTGGTCTCATTAGTAGTTATTACCCGTATTAAAATTTATTATTGGTTCTGAAAGGAGTGGAAGACACAAAATGAAACAACATGTACTCAGTCCATTTTTTGGTTTAATTAACACAAATGGAATAAATATCGTTTCGGTACCACTGTACAAACATGATACCCTCGTTGTTATTCTCAGTGGCAACCTTAAAACTTATCTCGTACCAAGACCATCTCTTCGTTCTGTTATATACTCCTCAAAAAAAGTTAAGGACCAGTGGTTTTCCTCATAGGTTTACATGTTAACCCCCATATTTGTTTGAACGACTATTTTCTAAGCGTGGAACAAAAGAAAGCCCAATAAAGAAAATAAATCTGCATCTTGATTCTATTCCCTATAAAGTCCGCAACGTTTCAATGTTATATCTCCATTACATTGGGTCAAAATTTGATGTCAAAATTGATGAATTTCATGAAATTTAACAAAAATGGCAGATCCCATGTTAAACAAATGGGGAATGGTTGGGTTGCCATAAGTCATATGAGGAACGATCCATCCATCCGATTGCTCTCAAAATTGAAATTATAAGAGACAATTAAATTTGCTAAATTGTCCACTCGACAAAAATATGATTTAATTGTCCAGGCTTTACAAAAGTTAATGGTTTCAAATTCAATGATTTTTTAATTATCCTCTATTGAAATAACATAGGTGTTTCAGTGAGGTGGTCAAAATTACTTTAACGCTCTGTATCGCTAATTTTAACAACATAAGCGAGACATTTAGCATGTAACATGTAAAAACATTCAATTTTCTACTTAGAAAGTATTTTTAATAAATGTTTTACTGAATAGATATTCCAGAATCTGAGTTGCCCCTTAGCAACCATTCCCCATTTGTTTAAAATGGGATCTGCCATTTTTGTTAAATTTCATGAAATTCATCAATTTTGACATCAAATTTTGACCCAATGGAATGGAGATATAACATTGAAACGTTGCGTACTTGATAGGGAATAGAATCAACATACAGATTTATTTTCTTTATTGGGATTTCTTTCGTTCCCCGCTTAGAAAATAGTCGTTCAAACAAATATGGGGGTTTACATGTAAACCTATGAGGAAAACCACTGGTCCTTAACTTTTTTTGAGGAGTATAGTTTTGGTACGCGATAACCACAATTACTTTTGACAAAGGTATGGTGCTTATATAGGTTTGTGCCAAATGGTAATGAAGATTCTACCTGTAGATCGAGCAGTCGTGGAAACATTGCGAGAAAGATGACATCTATCTACAGTCTACATCAATAATCTGCAAAAGGCCAACAAGCCCATTCAAGGCAGATAATAAGGTACTGTAACTATTGGTACAATTGATAGATATCACTTAAAAATGAATTATAAATACGAGAGAACAAAATAGAGAACTAGAACGAATTAACATGTTGAATTGATGTCATCTAGAGATTAGTTCTTTCCTTCGTAGTATTTTCCGACTTTCCTGACTTAGTATAAATGTAAGGAAAAAAGTTGTAATTATATCGCTGGAAAAACATATTGAACAAAACGTCTCGAACGGCTCGAACTCGGGATCTCCGTATCCCACTACGTTCAACCACAAGTTGGTCTCTCTTCGCCACTAGGCTTCTCTGCTTAGTTCTCTTAAATACCCATAAACCTTCCAATTCTATAGATAAAGGGAGTCTAATTCATTCTTCTCGGCCAATAAAAAATCATAAACTATCTGGATAGATATCTCTCATATTGTTTCTGACTTTTACAAAATATATTGAAACTTAAATTAAAAAGTAAAATATTGAACAAAAATGCAAAAAGCCTTTTCTGGGTCACAGCGAATGGCATGATTTCCTCGAGTCACTTCAGTTGCAATGCAACCATACTGGGACCGAATCTCGTCGTTCCACTACTGCCCTTGGTGGGGGCTCGCTACCATACTGTATGACTCCCGAAGTCTACTAAAGCACGTCAGTGGAGGAACCAACCACAGTCTCACAATCTGTCTCCGGCAAGAGCGGCCGGAGAACCAACCCATGCCAAGGGTCAGTAAACGGTTGGACCTTCGGACCGGGTGTCCTGTAGTGCAATGATCAAAAACTCCGTACCTGGGACTCGAACGCGGGACCTCCGTATCCCACTACGTTCGACCACAGAGTAGTCTGTCTTCGCCACTAGGCAACTCTGCTTAGGTGTCAAAACAGCTAAAAAATAATGTAGTTGTTATGTTTATTCGCTTGGATAAACGTGGTATAAACATCTTAATTGGTTAATCGAATCAAGTTGGAATCAAAGTTCGACCAACGATCAAGGAAACGTAATGAACTCTTGAAATACAGAAAGTGAGATTCGGGATCATTATTATGTACGTATCATTTTCTTTGAATATCAAGAAGGAAGAAATTGCCAAAATGTAGGAAAAGTATTTGGAACATCGTTTGATTTGTTGCTCAAATAAATGAAATAAGAGACGGCAGTCTGTTAGCCGATGTGTGGCGAAGAGAGACCACTTTATCTACAGGTAGAATCTTCATTACCATTTGTGAAAACAATTAGGTTACAATTGACATGTCTAGATTGCTCAATATAATGGTAAGTGAGTATGTTTGTACTTACAATAGGAGTCTGGTTGCATTTTACATGGACCCCGAGGAAAATCGGCGCTAATTGGATTATGTTCATTTCTCTGAGTAGCACGCGTGGCTAATACAAGTGTTGTGTTTACCATTCAAAAGGACAAAACAAGAAAACTGATCTACCTAATACTTCAGTTTACAGTGTTAAAGACATTTCCGCGCTGTCAGGACATTCAAAGATCTTTTGATTTTGGGGACTCATTTTTATTACTAACCTTTTCAATTTTCGTTGGGTACATGAGTCTGTAACAAGGTATATGGTGTATGTACCATTTGAAATCTTGGTATAATAACTATAGGTGGACAGTCAGATTGGTTATCAAAAAGCATTAGTGCTCAGAGGTGGATATGATTTTTATTCAGAGAACCTAGCATTTACTAGCTTATGTCAATTCCAGATGATTATATGTTGGGTGATGAATTTCTGACCATGAGGACAAGACACATATTTTTAGATCCAAGAAAAGTGATAATTAAGTTAATTTGACTAGGTTTATATAAAGGGGCAAAACACACTTTTTCAAAATGTTGACCTTTTACCAACAAGGCAAAGACGTGAACAATATCGTACCTAAAACACGGCATTGTGGTCTTGTTGACCAAGAAAGCAAGATGGCCGCAGAAAAGTTAATCAGCTCTAGAACTTATCACTGTGTAACATATGTAAAAATTTGAACGGTTTGGCTGGAAACCTGTAGACAAGTCTTGAAAGTGAAGATTTTAGGACGGAAAATCCAAAATGGCCACCTTAAAATTTACCCAAAAACCAATCAGTTCTTGACGTTGATATGTAGAAACATCCCTGAAAATTTCAGATGAATCCCTCAAATGGTTTGGCTGAAAATCTGTAGACAAGTCTTGAAAATGAAGATTTTAGGACGGAAAATCCAAAATGGCCACCTTAAAATTTAACCAGAATGCCCAAAAACTAATCAGTTCTTGACGTTGATATGTAGAAACATCCCTGAAAATTTCAGATGAATCCCTCAAATGGTTTGGCTGGAAACCTGTAGACTAGCTGAAAAGTGAGACGCCGCCCGCCGCCCGTCAAGCTGACTACAATATCGTACCTCTTGTTAGGTATGATAAAAAGGCAACCTTTTCGTATAAAGTTTAAGCATAATTGGAATGTGCTTCAAGAAATGCTTTATTTACTAAAAGGAAAAGTGGATTGCTTCAGGGATTTTAAACATACTGAATTTAAATAACCCAAAAAATTGAAAAAGTATGTTAATGGGTTGATTGCACCCTCTGACTTAATTATCATTTAATATATACTTTTTTAGATAATGAATGGAAAGTTACGATTGTCTTCATGATAAAAAATTCATTATATTGTTTGTGAAAACCAACTGGCATTTTGGTTATATGAGGATAGGGGGCAACCCAGAATGAAATTCTTTTTTACACATCTGTTAATAATTGGACACGATCCTTATGGGTAATTTGCTTACTAATTAAATCACAACATACAGTATTTCCAATGTTTTACAGTTTTATTGAGCATTTAGCATACAATGAGTCTATTGCATGTACACACTCTAGCATACGATACACAAAGCTCTGAAGGTTGCGTAGTAGGGGAAATACATTATGTAAAGATGAAATTTCTATTTCAAAGAAAACTTTCAAAATTAAGTCTAATAAATGATTCAAAGAGTACTATTATGCTCAATTATGTATGATAATGGACCAAAGAACATAACTTCACAAGCCATTGTTAGTTGGAATCTGATCCTTGGAACAATTTCACAGTGGAATACTGTACTGTTACAAACTTTCAACATTGGCCAAACCAATATTTCCATTAAAATGAAGTGCGCTGGAATTTCCCATACAGACCAACTTATTTGACTTTATACAAAATATACACAATTTACATAAAAAACAAGTCTTGATGTTTAAATCATCAAACAAAAAGAACAAGATTTAAGATTGCTTAAACATATAAAATAATTACACACAGTATTTTTATAATAGCAGTCATAGAATACATTTAAAAGTGATGTAATATTGTCACATTGGAATAAATATAAATATATTTACAAATAATTGAGTTCTAGAAGACCTACATAGAATATACAATTTGTCAACGTTAAGTTATATTTCACAATGCATTAATTTTCTAAAATGCCAATCACCTCTCATTGTGCCATTCAGTCTAGATTTCAATGATACGTACAACTGGCCTACAGTGCAGTTCAAATCAAACCTAACCTTAGAAAATCATTGATCTTAATGATCACAAGCAAAGTAAAGGTTAATTTAAATTTGAACTGTATCATAGGCTCCATAACCATTCTCACATTTTCCCATTTTCTTTCTCATCATTTGCAGTTTGTTGCCAATGTACATCATAATAATCTATCATACTTAAGTGTATTTTTTCAAACATGGGTTTTCTAAACATCTAAAGCAGAACATGAAATAAAGTATTTCAATATATCAATTTGGTAATTTCAATAAATATTGCTATAGTTTTGTTTTTAAGAATTGCTTATCACAAAATTTTAACTAATCTAGTTTCAGTATTATCTTCAACTGTGTATATTATGTAACAAAAATTTTATTGAAAATACATTTTGTCTGTTACGATCTTCCACTGAAGGAAGAGGTTCGAAAGTGAAGCATTTTCTATCCGTATTTTGAACACTTTACTCCAGTTAGGATAGATGCGCCTCAGGCCTAGGTAAGAGTGAAATCATTGTATCTTTTATAGAAATTAGGTTGTGAACAAAAATCCTGATTTCACCCTCTGTAGTCCTTTTAAGTGACCTGGCAATTGATACCAGTTCATGTCACACTCGAAAAACTGAATTTTAAAATTTTGATAAATATGTAAAGTGCACCGCAATGTACATTTTTGTATTTGGGAGTTGAAGCTGGAGTCTGTTGTGTTTTAGTAACTTATATATCATGTAACTAAAATCATGTAACTAATGTCAATAAATGATATATAATTAAAGAAATTTGAAATTACCAAATTGATGTTGTTATATCTAATGTACAAAAGCTTTAAGCTTCAAGCACCAATGCACATTTATATTTAATAATATACTGGTTATATTATACCCATATATAAAGCATATTTACAGAATATTATTCAAGCCCATGTGTACTTTCTACCATTTTAAAGCTTTTCTCAATGTACATATTAACAATTGTGAACTGTAATATTCAAATTGTTTACATTGTGAAACCTTTGTTTATTTTTACCATTCTAAAATTGTTTTAAAATTTCAAATTCAACATTTTTTTGAAATATACTGCAACTTGGAAGAAAGTAAAACACAAATGGACCCATTGCACATCATACACAAGTGGCAACTCCATATTTGAAAACGTAATGAAATCAAAAAATGTCACATTTTTATCAGTTCCTACATACATACCCTGCAGCCTTTTTAAGCTGAATATTAGTTTATCCTAAACTGATCAATTTTAGACGTGGGCTGGGCAATTCGTAACAGCAATCTTTTGGCATCAGACTGTCGTCAACTAGTCAGTTCCCGAACAACCTCAACACGAATTAACCAGCCCACATCTAAACCAGCACTAGCTCCATTGTCTTGGAAGTCATAAGGGGTCTGTTCAACCAACCCTGCATCATTACAACTTTACCCAAGAATCAGTATACCATATCAGCTTTAGTATTATGTAATTGTTGTAACTTGCTTAAAATTTACATATACACATCTATTAGCCAATGACATCACAGGTAAAGCCATCAAATACAGATCACATATACACATAGAGTGAATATACCGTCACAATATTTATAGTTTTTCTTGTACAACTTCTAAGAAATGTGGTCAGAAATTTGGCGAAGTTAGTATAGAATAACTTCTACATCTTTTCTCAGATTCAGAAAATCAATGAAATATCGTAGTGATATATGTTGAAAATTCAGCTAGATATTTTTAAAATACAACTTTTATATTTTTAATAACATATTCCTACATGTATATTGATGCCATTCATATTATACAGGAAATAATAAATAACTATATTCCACATTGCTGATTATGTTTCTATAGTAACTGTTGGTTACTACAACATTATTCCCATGGTAACAGCTAGTTACATCACTGATTCCAAAATGATAGTTGGATATATATTAGTGTTGTTGATATCTCCATGGTAGCACCTGGTAACTAATATTATTTTGTATTGACTGCTGGTAACTATGATGTCTCCATGGTAATATATGGTATCTATGATGTATCCATGGCATCTATTGTCTCCATGGTAAGTGTCAGTAACTATAGTTACACACGGTATGTTAAATGTCTGTTTTCATCTTCCACTATGCCTTGGGTTCAGCTGAAAAGAGAAAAGGATCATTTATTGAAAACATTTTTAAACATTTCAAAGTTGTTTAACAAACTTAGTCTTTACATCGGCCTACTTGAATTTCTATTCAAATACAGTAATCTTGAAGTAAAACAAGGACAAAGTACTGTAGATGAGCTTCATTATATTTCAATTATGAATTCTATTCTTAGTCAGAATCATCGTTGCAAATCCATGCTATGCATGCATAAATATCAAGGTCAACAAATTTGTTAGTCGCAGAAGAGAACATCACATTCATGAACATCAAATTCATGAACTCTTCAAAATTAAATGAACTGCATGTTGTATGCTTAGTACACTGTACACTCCCATGCTTTTGAGTAAAGTACAATTGATAAGTCTTTGATACAGATCTGACGTTCAAAGATTCACACTTTACTCACCAGTCACATAAAAATTACCAGCTATATGGTAGCCTCTTGCACCATGTATTATATTCCTGGCCATTCCCTTAGATAATTATTCTTTAGAACAACAATGTATATACCAAGGTTTCTTTCTTTATGCCTAAGTCACATTTGCTCCGGTTCATCGGCCGGCGCAGATTGCAGTATTTTTTTAAAATCATGTACAAGTTAGCAGTTAGACCTTCAGTTTTGAACAAAATACGCAACCGGCCAGGCGCCGGCCGATGAATTGGAGCAAATGTGACCTAGGCATTAATGAATATAAAATAGCCAGGCCAGAGACTTATTTTTTGTAGGTTTATATGTGGGGTTTATAATAGCAATAATGAAAAAATATGACCCTTTATTTATTTCAACAAATGGTGGTAAGATTAAGACATGAACCAATTATACACTAGATAATGACTTCGCCTAGCCAATCATTAGATACACAGCATTTACCAGCATAAGTACCGTTAAACATGTAGTATGTGATGATATCTATTATCAGAGTGGTAAGGATACCAGTCTTCCCTATTCAAAAAGAACCTAATTTTAGATGCATTGTGGGATAAATTCTGCACCTATCTTATGAAAAGTAGAATTCCTTTAAAAGTTCATTAAACTGAACTTTTAAATTGTTATGCAGTATGTAGAGACCAGAGAGAGGACAAAGGTAGCACCAGAAAAATGAAATGTTACAGTTTAAAAAAAAAAGAAAAATGGTCAAAACGAACGCCAAAACAAGAGTAAAACTTAGGATTTTTTTATTCAAAAGAACCTCAATATCTTTGGATTGAAAACTTTTTTGAATTCAATAGAACCTCAATTCAATTTCAGGATATTATATTCAGCAAGATTATAATTTCTAAACCATATGTAACCAACATGCCTTGATTGATGTAAATAGTCAGATATAGCATACAGCATACATATACATGTATATGAACACATTTATTGACAATTTATTCCAATGATCATTTTATTTACCAATAAATATATTATTCAAATCATAAGGATTACAACGGCATGTAACATGTTAGACTTTATTTGGGGCCTTTTAAAATATCAATTAAAGATTTATTTCAAATCAGGCTTACACTTATTTTAATTTGTTAAATGGGTGTTCAAAAGGTTCAGGGTCAACTCAATGATTAATATTCAAATGCCCTCTTGGAATTAATATTCAAATGCCCTACTGGAATCAATATTCAAATGCCCTACTGGCATAAATATCCAAATACCCCTACTATCAGACTATCATCATGCTATATGGTAGTATAGGGTGCGTAGTATAGACATTTGTTTTGTTAGTTCAAGTATCAAACATTAGTAATGTCTTCAAACAAAATATGGCAATGCAATTAAATTATAATAGCTTCAAATTAATAATTAAAATTGCAATTTGACACTACCAGTCTATAATAAACTCAAATCTTAACATCTGAGCCAATCTCTTGAGTACAAAATAATATTGAATCTTCTTTTTCAAATTTTATATTGAGACAGTATTTCATGGATCATAACTTTTCAAGAAAATGGCTCCAGACTTTGGGTTTAACTATACAAGTCAGTATTGGGAGACGGTAACAGCCATTACCTTATACAGTATTTCAAAATGGTGGGAGTTATTAGTGTCAATTTTAGACATTTAGAATCACCATTTAGAGGTAACATTGCTGTAACCTTCTCCTGATACTGGCAAGTTAACTTGGGGAAAAACTCGGAATTAATCTGTAAATGAGAAATAGGCATTTTAGTTGGGTTATGATATTGGGTAGATGCTATGGCAAAGAACAGCATTCTTTACTAAGGTTTGATATGTGGTCGAAATTGAAAATCTAATCATTTTCTATGGACCTACTTGGGGTAATTATACTGAGCTCAAAAGATTTTCTCAAAGCTGGAATTCAGACAGAGATTGTAACAATTGGACAAAATGAAAAAACTGGAAAAATTGAAATATGGTCAGGGATTTTTGGAACTGGAATTTTTGTGGGCCATATATCAATCCTATATATTTGAATTTTATACCTATCAGTACAAGAACAGAAGGAGAACTGGAAAATGCATTAAACTGAAAATAAAATCACAAAACAAAGTTACTTCATTACAATGACATGAAATCCATTCTTAGCAAGTCTGAATTTCCTGTATAAAGGATATAGAATTCATTCTGGTGCTACCTTTGCTTTGATGTTTCCCTTATATTCCCTCACCCTTAGAAAATAACAAAATACTAAATCATGAAGTATGTTGATGTCATCATGGTAACTTATACTGAATGAGGTGTGTTATGAGAGGGATTTAACTAGAGCTTTATAGAATCATTTATCAATTATTAATTTTCACTATTTTATTGTGTTAGAGATGTACTGATGTATGATTTTCACCCCCCCCCCCCCCCCCCATTACTCTTGGATATCATGAATACCTACTAGAAGATAAACTCTTCACCATTACTTGGCCTTATCTACTCCAATATAAGCAGTATATACGAGTAGATGTATTATACACAGGGCAAAGTATATGGAATACCCACGCTCACTTACACGGTCCACTAGCTCACAAGGCAGCCTCAGGTTCTAATTCAGAAAGATGTTCACATGTGGTCTAATTTGTTTTTGTGTGGTCTTGTGTGGTTTGTATGTGATCTAATGGGTATTTATGTGGTTTAATGTGTTTTATGTGGTCAAATTTGCTTTCATGTGGTTAATTGTGTTTTCATGTAATCTAATGTGTCTTTATGCCCCAGAACTTAACAAATGGAATTCCAGTAGGACAGGAGCCGACTTCTAGTACTCTGTGATAACAGACTGAATAACTAAAACACACACTTACTTTTAATATTTCTTGCAACAGGTTTACTATTGGGTTTCTTGATGACTTTTAAAGCTGCTAAATCCTCCTCGTACATGTGGCTCCCTACATCGCCATGCAACACAACAACAAACAATCACATGACAAATCAACTCTCACATTCCCATGATGCAATTCATTCCCATAATGCAACATATTGCCATAATGCAACACAATTTACCATAAGATTTCAAGACACAATTTTGAAGATAATTTTAACAACTGGGCCAAGCAAAATATCTTGTTTCAGTGTCTGAAATCGTGTGATAATTATTTCTAAAATTCTTCTTAATTTTCTTCAGAACTTCAAAGTTGCTCATGGAATGGATTGCAATATTTAAGATGTGAGAGTTGAGAATAAGCCTTTTATTGCAACAATGTGACATAACGTGACATTTGATACAATGTGACATTTTACATGATGTGACATGTGTATGCAATAAAAGACAAGCATGCATTTCAACAAAATTCATGCTCTGTGAGTATCAGAGTCAAAAAACTGAACAAATCACATTTTATATTACAATATGTAAGAAGCAGCAAGAGATCAATTGGTATTTCATGATTCAAATTAAATTGCAATTAAAATACAGAAATGACAACTGAATTTCAAAACATGCTATGAGAACACTCAATAAATTAATTTCCATATCACACAAATCGAAATCTTAGAGAGGGTATATAAGCAAATATAGTAAAAGGTGAATAAGATAATGAAAATGGTAGGAAAGCAATTTACTGATGCATTCACATTTACAGTCCCAGCAATGAAAATTTTCATTTAAATGGATTACTCTTTCAATTTATATATTTCTAGAAAAACAATAGAGGTGAGTCGAGAGTTATTTTAGGCCAAGTCTAGATCATTGGTTCTCTAGTCAGGTCATTGACTCATTATAGAATTGAGCCATTATGGACACATCTGACCATGTACGTTTATATCCATTAGCTAATGATCATTTTATCCATTTTGGAGATGTAATATAGGTTAAATACTCAAGCTACTGGTCGTTTGACCCATTTTGGTGATGTCATACAGGTTTAATGCCCAAGCTACTGGTCATTTGACACACCTTGGAGATGTCATATAGGTTTAATACCCAAGCTACTGGTCATTTGACACACCTTGGAGATGTCATATAGGTTTGATACCCAAGCCACTGGTCATCTGATCCATCTTTTGATAATGTCATATAGATTTAATAACCAAGCTACTGGTCATTTGACACGCCTTGGAGATGTCATATAGGTTTAATACCCAAGCCAATGGTCATCTGATCCATCTTTTGATGATGTCATATAGGTTTAATACCCAAGCTACTGGTCATCTGACCCATCTTCTTGATGTCATATAGGTTTAATACCCAAGCTACTGGTCAGTCGACCCACCTCTATAAAATACCCCTTTGCTCCCCAAAATGACTCCATGTTCTCCATGTACTTAAATGTTTTACATAGGACTCTTACCTGAAGGAACTTTAGGGATTTGAGGTAACTGTTTTCTATAGCTCCCTTCTACAGCACCACTATATAATAGGGCAATAATAAATTATAATATAAATATAGGTGATATATTAAATTAAAGCGACACACATACATAAACATCCACATTAATGCATCTAATTGTTGAGGTGAAATGATTCTGGAAAATATTTCTGTAATTCTGAAATTGTGCTATTCTTAGTTTACATTTGAAAATTACATTAATATCAATAAAGTTACATATAATTCTTAATTTAGAGCAATTCCTTCATCATTTTTTTGATGTAAAAGCAAACAAATTTCAACTCAACAATGCAAATGCATACATACACACCAAAAACAGGACATGAGTACAAAATTATAAATAAATGGTCTCTCATGTTCTATTTCATACAGGTGCTTTAAATTAAAAGTGGCGATGATTCACAGCAATGCTTTGAAAATGCTCATATACAACATTCGGGGAACCAATATTGAGGAATTAACTAAAATTATCAGAATGTGGAGAAGCATATTGATTGAAGATGATTTATAAGCAATGTTCTTCAGGACTGGCAGAGATGGCAGGTCGAAAATTGGCGGTCGGCAAATTCCTGCTGAACCACCCAGATAATTTGCAAAAATCTTGTATTCATAATGAAACTTAATAATAAATAATAAACTTGAACAACAAAAATATTTGCTTTCACAATAAAGTATAATACAGTATTAAAGAAGTTCTTCATAAATGCAATATATTTTTGAGATGTGTGATGAAATATTCACAATGTCACTGAATTCAGCTTAGCCTTGGACAATGCTGCCATCTATTAAGAGTCATGAAGACCATTATCAGCAGAAATATACAGTAGAATTGGTCACCATGCTAATAAGAGAATATAAACTGCTCACCAATCCGCTCTTGGGGTAAAACATGTAGATGACTTGGACTCACAAAATAATATAATAGTATTACCAACTAAACAAATAATAAATATGTCCATCAAATTGATTTTCTGAATAGGAAGTCTCATGTTGAACAAGGGAGACATGGAGAAAAGAGTGTCAACTTTTTCATATTCCATTTTTCTGGAATCTACATTTAAAAAGTGATTGAACATTTTTTTATTGAATTTTTTTTTATTGTGAATACGTTTCTTCTGTTTGGATATATCAAATTTCAATTTCAAGACACCTATACTGATGAAATTCAAGACATTGCAGTTTATTACAATCAGGTTACCAAAAAATAACAAAATCCATTCCAGATTAACACTCCTATATCTCCATGTATCACACTGCCACAAGACCTAATATACAAGAAAGCCAGGACTTTTCTAGACAACACATTTGGTATATAGACACAGTATTGTAACTTACGAAGCAGCATTAGGTCTAATGACTGGGGATGGTCCATTTTGTGTCATCCCACCTCCACGGATTCCACTGCTCTGAATAGATCCTGCATGTTGGTGCTGGCCTGGCCTGATTGGCTTAGCTGAAACACAAACACATACTTTCGGTTTCCCGTCTCACTGTTAACTAAACATTACTTAACAAGTTATTGTTATCTAGCATCCTTTTAAAAATGCATGTTTACTATTATCTAAAGTGAACGAGTAAAGTATTGTCTCACCAATTTGGGGTGCATGTCCGCGTCTGGCAAGGTTCTTCTGGCGTACAGCCTCCTTAATACGGTCAACCTCATGTTGGTACCTGAAATATAACACACAGTAAAACCTGTCTTATCCAAATGCAGTGGGACCTGCCAAAAGTGATCAAATTCAAGGTTTCTTTAATAAGAGAGTCAATGGGAGATCACAACATTGATAGAAAGTGTTCACACTGAAAGGTGTCTTGATAATAGAGATATAAGCTGGTATCTATGTTACTGTAAGGAAATAAGTTAAAGAGATTTTGATGAATGAAAATGTGCTTCTATTTCTTCAATCTTCCTTAGGATAACATTAGTTCAAATCATGACTGCAGGAATAAACCTCAGTTAAATATTTATATTCGGAATTTTTATGTTGCCTCTTATATCTGATGTTTTTTCATACTACTTTAAGCTTCACGGTCACTTCCCAAATAAGGTTTAAAAATGGTTGCCTACAGTATAACCTGTTTAATCTGAACAATAGTGGGACTGGCCAAAATTGTATGAATTGGCAGGTTTTACTGCAGTTTTACCTCTTCCTATCCCTCATAGCGCCCTCCTTGGCTTCTTTCAGGGCAGATTCTAGGGATTTTACTCTCTCCATGGTGGCTCTCAGTCTCTTCTCCAACTTGGGCAGTTCACAACGTAAGTCAGCATTGTCTCTCACCAACTATAACATGAAAAAATTTCAAATCTATTCCAGAGGGAATTTATTCATTACATAATACTCTAAGAGCAAAATTGACTCATTTCAGAGTTGGATGATACAATAATTTTCCTGAATAGAGATTTAACATATTGAACAATTCACACATTATGGAATTACAAAAAGAGTTTTCGCTGATACAGATATAACTTATTAAAAAATAATGAGCCAAAAAATCGCACATAATGGAATCAACTAAAATAAGCATTTCCTGAGTACAGATCTAACTTATTATAATATCCACATAGAACAGAATTTACCTCTTTCAAAAAATAAAATACTGAACTTGCTTAATCCCATACTAGTATTTCTTTCATGACTTACTTGTTTGTGGACCTTGGTAAGCTGATCCAAGTTATTCTCAAGGAATCCAATCTTCTGTTTCTGGGCAACACTTCCACCCATATCCTCTTCTTCATCCTCGTTCTTGTTTGCAGACTACAATACACAATTTGAACACAAACTTTTATATTGGAACCATTGTTCTGCTATGAAGAAGATTGGAATTACAATTCATAGAATTGAACTGTTTATTTTCAGAAACGTTTGAGTTTTCACAATCCTATCCATTGTTTATTCAGAGTTGGTATGATCCTACCCATTGTTTATTCAGAGATAATGTGATATTCCCCATTGATTGTTCAGAGTTGATATGATCTTACTCATTGTTTATTCAGAGTTGATATGACCCTACCCATTGTTTATTCAGTGATGTGATATCCCTATTGATTATTCAGAGTTGATATGATCTTACCTATTGTTCATTGAAATATTGAGAAAAATTAGATCATGAAACCAATTGACATGTATTTCAAGTAAAACCTAGACCCCTGAAATAACCTCTAATCCAACTGTAATCCAATATAAATTGTGCTTTGTGTAGTGAATTCCTTACATTAATGTATCCAAATACAGTAAAACCTGCGAACAGGGAATGCTCTTCGGACTGGAGAAAAGTTTCCTTGTTCAGAGGTTTTCCCTATAGAGAGGGGCCGCACTTTCAGCAAACTCAGAATTGCCGAATAAGCATTTTTTGTATATATTTGGGCATTAATTGATTTTACCAATGCCGACTCCATACTTGGTTGCTAGACCTTGTTGTGGCATCTTGGAAGATGTATGAAGGTCTCCCACCTCCCTCCTTTAGCTGAGGGTAAGGAGCACTTTAGCCGCTGCTGCTGGCGTATGATGATGTCTAGTTGTAATTATTGATAGATTTGGCTCAACATGACACATGTACTTATCGTTTATCTCCATAAAACAAATGTGTCAATCCCTAGATTATCACAACTGATTTGATGTAATTATGTTTGTTGAAAGGACGAATTAGTGTCATGATAATTAGTAACAAACAGATTAGTATTAGTTTTAAAATATATCAGGGTAATTAACAGTGGGTGGGATGCTACATCTTGTAAACAATTGGCTTATCTTAATCTCAATCATATTAATCCAAGCTTTTTAGAATCAGATATTGGCTTAAGACTTTCACACCTCTGAAAAATAATGGAATATACAGGGTCACCAATATTCCATATTCCTTGTTCACAGGTGAATTTTCATAATTTGCCCCAAAAAGTGTTCCTTGTTCCCTGTTCACAGGTTTTCCCTACAGAGAGGGTCCGTTAACATGCAAGTCAATGGAAAAATATTTGGTTCTTTTGAAAAGCATTCCTTGTTCATAGGTTTTCCCTACAGAGAGGTATTCCATCGGACAGGTTTTACTGTATATGTGAGGAGAGTGAAAGAAAAAAAAACAAATAAACAATTGATTGGATAATTTGATTCACAGCTTTTTAATGGAGACATTATCACACTGGATTTAGTCTTATAGACATATATGTCCTGAGGGACACAAGGACTGGATTTCGATATAAAAATGTAATCCATTTCTCATAGAGAGTTTATTCCATCACTTTAATTTGTGTATGAGCTTGGCAACCACCTTTATTGCATTAAGGGCTTAAAAAATGTTCATATTGATAAACTTGCCTGTTTTGTTAACTTGACTATAGATTATTTTGGGAAGCAAGCATCTATCATAGAATTAATAAGGTTGGGTTAGACTAAGGTTGAAAACCTGATTGTCACAATTTTCTACATTGACAATCCCAGTCCATTGTTCTGCAGGAGACCAGTTTTAATCCAAGTCCATTCCCAAAACTGAACTTATTTGCACTAGTAATGAAGTAAATATTCATTTCTAACTCTAATGGTTGTGTATAATGAGTGAGGTTCAAAGGTGTTCTAGAATAGCTTTGGAGATGGAGATTCTCATCTTTAACTGTCGTTTTGTTGACATTTTGGAAAAAAAAGCGTTTTGATTCAGGTCAGCTGAGTATAGTTTTTGTGAGTATAGGAAACTAGCATATAACGATGAAATAGGTTAGACTGCTTCAATTTTCAGCAATACATCAAAGATCTTTTTTCAAATCCTGATTTGAATGTGGTTTATTGGAGGACAGATAAAAACTCAGCCAGATCCCTGGGTCTTGAAAATAGATTCGCGATAAATAAAAATTGTTTTAAATACATAAAAGATAAGTCAAGTAGGTGCTGGTATGTGCTTTGAGGAATGTCTTATATAATGTACTATAATGCCCCAAAAAACTGCCTCCATATAAGGTTATACCTGTGTGGATTCACTGGGGGGATGATAGTGTGTAATATATGTATTAATCTGCCATACATGCTGTATGGACACCTAGAATACCAGAATAAAACAATACAACCAACATTAAGGTAGTAATATCTGCGTTCTCCCCAGAAGTTTTTGTCGAGTTGTTGCAAAATTTTTATTTTCACAATTCAGACCAAAATTGGTCAAAATATACCCATTTTCATGGTTTTTCTCATTTTCAAGTGGGTCCAAATGGATTTTCAGGTGGGTACAAGCCTTTTTTAAATCTCAGGTGGATGCTACGCGCACTTGCTTTAATGCTGGGGAGATCACTGAATATGTAATGAGTTTTAATGAAGGCAATTTTAAGTATAACCAGAGGTTAAGCAAGGAGACTAAATGAAAGAAATAATGGTAAATTCTAAATGTTGCAATTAAATCTAAATGAAGATGAAGCATTTAATAAGAAGTAGATACATAAGGGTTATATACTGAGCAGTTTTGGATACAGAGTTTATCCTTAGGGAAATTAAATATGGATTTTATATAATGATTAAGTTATCAAAATAATGAATATTTTTGTATTGTATATGGAATAAATAAGAGGACTAGAGTACTATTATACAGGGTGATTCAGAAGAATATCAAATAAACTGTAGCATTTAAATGACAATATTTCTTATCTTACTTCGGGATCACTCTGTACAGTGCATTTCATGTATTTGCGTCGGTGGAAAGCTACGAAAATGTTAATTGTATACCCTACCTCTACATTGGATTCTTTCTTAACCTCTGTAATCTAACAAATAAGGCATCGTTGAGAAATAAGGCTAGTACAATTAATTACTCATTTTGCAGGTATACAAGAGAGACACACAAAGCACAGTACAGTAAAACCTGTTTAATCGAACACCACAGGGAGGCAGGAACTGGTCAAAAGTGTTCAGATCAGAAGGTGTTCCAATTTCAATGTTTTGTCAACAAGGGAGATTACAAAATTGGGACCAAGAAAAGTGTTCCTTTTGAGAAATGGTCAAATTAGACAGATATACAGGTTTTACTATACTAATTCAAATGCTAAATGAGAATTTAATTGACAATGTAAAGTTCTAAAGTTAACAAAAGCGTGAATCAAAGCATATTAGAAAAATATATTAGTATAATCAGTATGACAAGCAAATTAAAAATGTAATGAAATGAAAATGATTATAGCATACATTCAAAAGAATCATCAATGTTTCATTCATACACAGAACAAGCTAGAAAAACTTAGTCCCAGAGTAGCAAATCCTACTGAACAGAAAATATTTCTGAAATTCTTGGACTTAAAAGAACTAAAATTAAAATAAACTAATTTCACTGCAAATTAGAAATCTAAAAAGTGTGTAATTGTTAGAAATGCACACTGGGGAATTTCACAACATAAAACTGCCCCAGCCACATACCTTCTTGACTCTGCTTTGCAGGTCTTGTACAAAGAGTTTCCTAAGGTTGTGAAGTGTCTGTAGTTCTTTGGCAACAGTCTCCTCAAGGCCTTTAAGGTCTTGCTTGGCCTGTTCACGTCGATCAATCTGGAGAGAAAGTTCGGCTAATTTGGCTGATTTTTCTGTCTCTTCTTCCTTCAGTTTGTTGTAGTCTAGCTGAAGTTTCTCTTGTGCGAGGCTCATCTTCTGGTTGGCACTGTAATGTGAGGTAGAATATGAGGTGTGAATATGAGGTAGAATATAAGACGGCAATACAGCATGCGGTAGAATATTTCACTTTAATATGAGGTAGAATATGAGGTGTCAATAGGAGGTAGAATATGGCAGAGATAATATTTAAATTAAATCGAGGATAATATTCCTATGATTTATGAGTGATGATTTTTATCCACTAATGGATATCATTATTTGCACAATTGAGCCTGCTATTTCTGCAAAGGCAAAGATTCTATTTCCAGATAAGTAGCTCACTCTTTTAGGGAATCAATCATGGTTTGTTTGCTGGCGATCTCATCACGGAGAGTGGTGAGTTGCTTCTGGTGCTGCTCCCTGTGGCCCTCCATCTGTTTCTCCAGTGTCTCCTTCATCTCCAGGGCAGAGCTCTGTTTGTTACTCTCCTGCTGTTGTTTCTCCAACTGGCTCTTGTATACTTGCTCTGCAAAACATGAGGGTATGATATGTGGAGGGGCATGTTGGCTCTGTAGTAGACTTTTGAACACAATTGATTCATAGTTATTCAGATTTGAAAAATAGATCTTACATCCTTATGGCTAGCAATGATTGAATTCTGTTTTCATGTTGTATTGTACTCATTCAGTGAAATGAACTCGGACGTAATTGCCTATACACATTGTACTATGAATGAAAATAAATACCATATTGTCCATAGCACATGTACATGTATATATAAAAATAAGTCTGATGTTTTCCACATGCATCTTACCTTCAGCTCTGAGCTGTGCAGTTTCTTCATTCAGTTTGTCAACTTCTTCTTCTAGAGATCTCTTCTTGGTCTCAATGTCCTTCTGGGACTCGGCAAGTGACTTCATCTTAGCCTCATGCTGAAATAAACATGCGCATAATTAAATTGTATTATCAAAATCTCTGAAATTAATATTTTCTCTATAAATCAAACTTCAAAACTTTGTAACTCCATGAAACAAAACTAGGAAATAAATCTTGCAGATGTCTCAGCATATGCTTAACCTCAGTGATGTACTCGTATGTGTACAGTAAAACATGTGATCTTTGGCATATAAGTTCTACAGCTGCAGGTACATCAATACAGCTTTGTCAGTTGGTGAGAAATTGAGGCTTAATAGAATAGTAACTGACTAAGTTCTATGGATTAAATCAAAGTACTATGAAATTCACTCTTTGAAGAAATATCCAATTGAATTCAATGTTAAATCAAATTTTCACAGTGGCTTTAATTTCACGGTCTAGCCTTTTCAGCGAAAATAGTGGAAATTAGGGCACCTTGAAAAATTCGGCTTTTACAGCATGTCATAGCGTGGGCAGAGATTATCAAAACTCTTGGACCAACCTGTGAAATTAGAAGCTTGCATCCAGAGAGTTCCTCTTCTGTCTCTTGGATCTTTTTCTTGCTGTCTTTTTGGAAGTCTTCCAGTAGGGCACAACGGGAGACCAGGGTCTTCACTTCTGATTTCATCTTACTGATGAACAGTCTAGCCACTGTGAATTCTTCTTCTACGCCACCACCAGTTGTCATACCAGTCTGTAATGGTCATGGAATAAATAGAAGTTATTTAATGGGAGGGATGGAATATGAATTTTCTGATTTCATCTTACTGATAAACAGTCTAGCCACTGTGAATTCTTCTTCTACGCCACCACCAGTTGTCATACCAGTCTGTAATGGTCATGGAATAAATAGAGGTTATTTAATGGGAGGGATGGAATATGAATTTTCTGATTTCATCTTACTGATAAACAGTCTAGCCACTGTGAATTCTTCTTCTACGCCACCACCAGTTGTCATACCAGTCTGTAATGGTCATGGAATAAATAGAGGTTATTTAATGGGAGGGATGGAATATGAATTTTCTGATTTCATCTTACTGATAAACAGTCTAGCCACTGTGAATTCTTCTTCTACGCCACCACCAGTTGTCATACCAGTCTGTAATGGTCATGGAATAAATAGAGGTTATTTAATGGGAGGGATGGAATATGAATTTTCTGATTTCATCTTACTGATGAACAGTCTAGCCACTGTGAATTCTTCTTCTACGCCACCACCAGTTGTCATACCAGTCTGTAATGGTCATGGAATAAATAGAGGTTATTTAATGGGAGGGATGGAATATGAATTTTCTGATTTCATCTTACTGATGAACAGTCTAGCCACTGTGAATTCTTCTTCTACGCCACCACCAGTTGTCATACCAGTCTACAATGGTCATGGAATAAATAGAGGTTATTTAATGGGAGGGATGGAATATGAATTTTCCGATTTCATCTTACTGATGAACAGTCTAGCCACTGTGAATTCTTCTTCTACGCCACCACCAGTTGTCATACCAGTCTGTAATGGTCATGGAATAAATAGAGGTTATTTAATGGGAGGGATGGAATATGAATTTTATTCTGAGGGAAAATATGATGTTGGCCAAGGAAAATAACAAATTGACCGAGGGTGACTGCAATTCTATTCACTGTTTATTTCCAAGGGAAAACATGTTATTATGGATTAATGAGTCATTTTTCTCTTATCACCCTGACAGGTGAATAAATGAATGTTAGGATATAGGCTTATTAGCTTTTTGCAGAATATTGACATAGACATAGGATATACAAATGGACAAATTTCAAAACAGACAGATTGCTTCTTTATATCCCTCAAAAAATATTCATAGGTTGGTAAAATGAATGAATGATGGCCATCTTTGCAATTATTTGAATCATTTCTGAAGCTTTTTGGTATGAGAGCAAGAGCATCAGGCGAGAGGGAAAAGCAAAATTTCACTAAACCTCAAGGCTATTGACAACTTTCTACACAAGAAAATTCACAAACTTTTCATCAAAACTGATAAAATAATTCCAAAATTAGAGTTATATTTTCACATAACCCTGTTTGTACATGTTTTGCATACCTTATACCTATACCGTATAATGTGTACAAAAATGAAAAAAACGACATACCTTACTATCCATTGCGTTGGCACCAACAGCTGTGCCAACTTCATTGAGATCGTTCAAGAGGCTCACCATCATCTCAGCAACACGTTTCTTCTGGTGGGAAGTCTGGTCCTTCAGGGCCTGAAGTTCACTCTCACTTGTGTTCAACTTAGACTGCAAATTAAAACATGGAGAATAGATTTGCAACCCATAGATTTATTTGTGGTTGATCAGTTGTTGTCGGGACTGTCACCTAAATATTGTATCATTAGCTATTACCAAGGCTCCCAACCACTCTATATTGTAACAATTAACAACTCTCCATTTAATTGCAACAATCATTCTATTGTAACAATCACCAAGCATTTCCATTTCATTGCAACAATCATTGTATTGTAACAATCATCAAGCATTTTCCATTTCATTGTAACAACCACTGTATTGTATTTAATTGTTACAATCACCAAACCCTAGTATTTCATTTCAAATATCTATTTAATTGTAACAATTGTACAGCTTACCATTTTCACACTCAGTTCTTCAGCCAATTCCTCATTTTCTTTATTCTTGCTGTCAACCTCAGTGGACTTCTGGTCATAGTTCATGGCTAGTTCCTCAAGGGCCTACAATAGAGGATTTGATATATCACTAGAAAGATCTGTGTTTGTTTTTAAGTACACAATTTTTAAAAGTTTTCAGCTTACATAAAAAAGATTTAAAACTTGAACAGTTTTACTGTGTCTGGGTTGTACAGGAATGTGTGCATTAGTTTAACCATCTTTTATGCTAAATATATATTAGCATTTAGAAATCAAATTATACCTGCAATCATATCATTCTCTGGGTATTTTCAATCTCATATACAGTATAAAATCTGGACCAATTAAAAGTGTTCTCAATTTTGTCAGCTTCCATTGACTCCCTTGTTGAGGAAACTTTGTACATGTAATTTGAACATCTGCTATTTTGGACACTTTTGACCATTCCAAGTGGATTTTGGATTTGACAAGTTTTGACATACATCAAAATGGAAATGATAACTGAACTCTTTACCTGTAAGACTTCCTTCACTTCCTCCTTGGCAGAGTCGTTATCAGCCTGTATACGTGCCATCTCATTCTGGAGACTCTCATAGTCTTTGCGTGCGGCACTGATCATCTCCTCTTGCTCTAACATCTGCTCCTTGAGACGCTCAGACAGCTGGCACTGGCTGTTGATCTCCTCGTCCTAGAGGGAAGGATATAAAGGTTATGTAGTGGGACGGGTAAATGGTATATTCTGAGGGAGCTAAATCAGAGGTACTGCATGTCTAATTGTTCATAACATGAAGTCAATGAAAATGTGTAAAGTAAACATTTTCAAACTGTAAGATTTTTTGTTCCATTGAACATATTTTACAACTCATAACCATTATCCCTTTTCAAATTACATCTGTTGAGTTTTCACTAAAAGTGTGTTCAAGGCTCAAGAGTTTTAACATGACCTAATTCTTGAACCAATATAAATATAATGTAATCAGCCAATCAGAAAGATGACTATATATACCATATATTGTATATGTGTGCATTGTGGGTAGATAACATACCTTATTGTCTAGTTCTTCATAGAGTTTAATCTTCTCCTCTTCCAATTTCTGTCTCTCATCAGCTGGCAGTGATGCAGTGGATGATACCATAGATGTAGTAAGACCTGCTAGGTTTAGACTGGAGCCTACAGGTGTAGAAGTCTCACTAAGGTTGCCTTTAGCTGCAACCTCTCTTGTTGCCTGCTCTTCTACTGGCACAGCATCCCCTAGACAACCAATACAATTCAGTATAGCACATGTTGAGACATATATGAATAGCATATGAATTACATAATATTTGAACTCAAAGGCATGATGTCATCACCAAGCTTGAAAACTACAGTGCCCTACCACTTAACAAGCATTGCTTTGAGTTTGGCATTCAAGTAATACAAGCAACTTACCAGACCTCCATTTGTTCAACTCCAGTTCATATTTAACAAGCATTGCTTTGAGCTTAGAATTCAAGTAATACAAGCAACTTACCAGACCTCCATTTGTTCAACTCCAGTTCATATTTAACAAGCATTGCTTTGAGTTTGGCATTCAAGTAATACAAGCAACTTACCAGACCTCCATTTGTTCAACTCCAGTTCATATTTAACAAGCATTGCTTTGAGCTTAGTATTCAAGTAATACAAGCAACTTACCAGACCTCCATTTGTTCAATTCCAGTTCATATTTAACAAGCATTGCTTTGAGCTTAGTATTCAAGTAATACAAGCAACTTACCAGACCTCCATTTGTTCAACTCCAGTTCATATTTAACAAGCATTGCTTTGAGCTTAGTATTCAAGTAATACAAGCAACTTACCAGATCTCCATTTGTTCAACTCCAGTTCATATTTAACAAGCATTGCTTTGAGCTTAGTATTCAAGTAATACAAGCAACTTACCAGACCTCCATTTGTTCAATTCCAGTTCATATTTAACAAGCATTGCTTTGAGCTTAGAATTCAAGTAATACAAGCAACTTACCAGACCTCCATTTGTTCAATTCCAGTTCATATTTGACAAGCATTGCTTTGAGTTTGGCATTCTTCTCTTTTTCTTTCTCATAACGTCTCTTCCATTCCTCTGCTGTAAGTTCCTCATTGATTTGTACAACATTCTTGATGGTCTTGGCTCTGTAGATAAAATGTTTTACATTATAGCCATACAGCAAATGTGACCTCTAATCCCTCAGTCACATTTGATCTATGGCAACCACACGGAGGCTGTAGCTTTCCAAAATCGAGAGATTATGAAGCATAAAATATAGAGATAAGCAGAACGATGTAGATTTTCAAAATCAATTTTGTGAAGCTCGGTCACCATAGGGGAAACGTAACTGAGGCTTTAGTCAATTAACTTTAAATGTGCTGCTAATAAGAATCAGTGGGTAACTTCAGTATATAATATAAAGGAAACGACAAACCAACTTTCCATTTTTTCATTAGGCCTATACAGAAAGCCTTAGAATTTACACAATTCAATATGAAGTATTTCATAATAGCGCATGACTGTACAATAAAACAGTTTCAGCTATAAAGAGGTTAGTTTAACATGTCTTTAAGTATCAGAATTGTTACCTCTGTCCGAACTGCAATGTAGATTTGGTCTCAGACTCGTTGAATGATGCAGGAGAGCAACATATGATGACCGTGGTTCTAGCATTACCACCCAAACTCTCCTGTAGGATACGAGTCAGCTTACTGTCTCTGTATGGTATATGGCTTTTCTGAAATATTAATCACACAAAATGTGTCTATGTGTCTTAGTTATAAAACAATGCAATGGAACTGTACTAAAAAGTTTATTAAAATGTGTACATAATGAACTCTGTAAGAGTTGATTGGATTGAAGCTGAACTTTGAGGATACAAAAGCTTGAATCTTTATTTTACTTAAACATAAAAGCATCACTTACATTTCCATCTGCCAAGGCTGAGATGACGTTCCCCAAAGCAGAGAGAGATTTGTTGATATTCTTAGCTTCATCTAATACAACACCCTCAGCACCAGTTTTACCAACCTAAATTGGAAGAAACAATGCATGTAAAGTACAACAATAAAGTACAACAAATATTTCATACAGGTTAATTTACCATTAGTCAATTGAACACCTCTTTTATGTCAAGTGTCATGCAGATTTCTTTTTCACTCACATTGATCAAGAACCATCCTCAGTTTTATTTTGCATTAAAGTTTCCAGCAAAAGAGAATTTCAAGAATGCATCCCTGTGGTTGTTATATAATAGGACTATTAAACCCTTATATGTTTTGTTGTTGTTATCATTGACTGGAGTCTGAAGATTTGCCCAAGTATACCTAAACAATTCTGATTAAACCTCTTCTCGATAGTACCAATTATTTTGATTTTGTTTCAATCGAAGCCATGAATCATACAGTAAAACATATACATACCTTTTCACTACCTGCTAGATCGACTAGATATAATTTTCCACACAATTTCTTTTGATTCTCCAAGTTTTCTTGCTTTATATTGATGAGGAACACGCTGTGACTACGTGAGCTGTGCTCATTCATATCTAGAAAAAATGAAGATATGAAAATACAAAATATACAAATCTGATTTCATCACAAACCTGAAAAGGTAAAAGGTACCATGTAAATAAGTCACAATCATAAACAATAATTTGTGTAACATATGTATTTTTATATTGAAGATATAAAGTGAGTGTCATTTTTCTCAAGTTCTGCATTCTTAGTACATATTCAACAGATTAGGGGAGGTACACTAGATCTTGAGGGGGCCAGCATGTTTAACCATCCTAAATTATGTGCCCTGCTTTCCTGAAATAACTACACTTGGAATATTTATCTCCTAACGAAGATTTAATTTTCTAAAAAGGCAAAGTTACAGATTACTATGAAAATTCTGCATCAAACATCAAGCAAAGGCTTTGATATTATCATTTTCTTTATTCAAACTGTGAAATTTTATCAGACATCCCCATGATCTAATGATCCACCCCTAAGTTCAAAACTCATTAGATTATGTATACATGTGATCTTATTAGAAATGTGATCTTTCAGTTCTCTTCCATAGTAAACAGCATAAGTATTACATGACATTCTTAAAGGCAATGCTTTCAACCTTATGCATACAAATCAATGGTTACAGCTAGTTCAGACCAAGAGGCTCCAATTATAGATGCTTATCTCAACAAAAATAAAAGGTTACGGAATGAAAATATTCATGAGTTCAAAATGGCGAAATAAAAGGGGGATATATCATTGAAAGGAAAATATTATTAAAATGAGGGAAATTATATTGAAAATGGAAGGATTGGAGCCTCTGTGGACTTTCATTATTATCTTATATATTCTTATAAAAAGTACATTGTACTTACAAGTCTGAAATTCACAACTATTAAGTGAATCTTCACACTGAATTCACATTTAATCTTCACAATCTTCACATACCAATACCACACTGATACACTTTTCATTTATAGCCGTTGTGAGTTTTTCTGGTTGGCTGTTTCAATAGTTTATTAATATTTCATTCTATCTGATTGCTATTGTCATCAGAATCAATACCACACTTGGTATACGCAGCTAACGAAAATTGACCGGTACGGGTCAAAAGCTGGACCGGTACGGGTTAACGGTTTTATTTGAATTTAAAACAGCCAATAGCCATGCCCCGAACCAGTCAGTCTTCTCGCTGCAAGCAGGAGGAAATTCTTTGTCACAAAGTTTGGCATTTTTTATAAAATCAAATGCGCGTCATTGAAACTCACAAGATGTAAATAGCATGTCATTTACATCATACCTTGATGGGGAAAAATAGATCTTATATGTTAGAAGTACTAAATAAAAGTTATCGTGAAAATGAGACAGTCGTTCTCGAGAGAAAAGAGAATAAATGCGCATTTAGAGAGTTTTGGTCCGTTTAAAAATCTATAAAAAATTGGGGTACTGAAAAGCATCGGGAGGCATCATATATTTCAAATTAGACACGAGGAAGTCAATATTGAGCAAGTTATGGCTGTTTTAAATTCAAATAAAACCGTTAACCCGTACGGGTCCAGCTTTTGACCCGTACCGGTCATTTTTCGTTAGCTGCGTATACCAAGGGTGCAATACTAGACAAAAATGTAGATAAATATAGTTGAAAGAAAAATAGTTAACTAATCTAAATGTTGTCATATTCTTGGAAGGCAATTGAATAAAATTCATTTCTCTGATATAATTTGCCTTCAAGACTTAAAATCACACACTTTGGTGGTTCTCCTCATTTTCTTCAAACACGTTATATTGCAGGACATTACACCACTTACTAGTTACAGCAACATGTCTATTGTTCTTTCCCTCTTCAATGGTGTCCATCACTTCCTCTGGACTGGAGACAAACCTCTCAGTAACACCCTGTACCACAACAAATCACCACAGTTTAACACAGACCCGTAACCACAACCCACAGGAGGTATTACTACACTCCCACATGCCCCATTTGCATCTGAATCATTCCCATAACCCAGAGGAGGTGAACTCCCAGATGCCTTGTATAAAACCTCCATTAATAACGAACCAATCATTCAGCTGGTACACATACATAAGGAAGAACCATAAATTTGAAATGATCTCCCTGAACCTATGGGTTAATCTAATGTTGAGTTGTTTGAATCAACTTATATATTCAGGTACCCACAGCCCACCCAGGAAAATGATGACTTAGCCCTGTTGAAATACAACAATTTCCCTGAACTGTTATCTCCAAGTAAACAGTTAAAAGCATGAGCTTTCTAAAGTGTAGAAGGACCATGCCTCAATGGAGCTCTGTTTTATCAAATAATGTGAGGAAGTTCTATACTATGAAGGGGGAATTGGACTTGGATGATACTTAACAAACTTATAATAAGGTTTATGGTAGGGATGTGCAGCATCAAAATTAGAATGTTAGCAACAGCCACTTTAATTAATCAATGTTAGAGAAAAACATAAAATAAAACTACACCTCGCACAAGCAAACTAAGAACAAGACACACAAACAGAAAGACCTGTTAGATGACCCTTTCCTCATAAGCCCACCTAGGCACATTTTCCTTGATTTCTATAGCAACAAAACATGTTGCTATAGCAACCATAGCTGTAACCATGTGTTACTATGGTATGATATCTGATGTTTCTATGTGACTTACTAGTTACGGCTACATGTCTATTGTCTTTTCCAGCCATCATAATGTCTATAACTTCTTCAGGGGATGAGACAAATTGTTCTGTTATACCCTGTTGGTGAGGAGGCAGGTTCAATGTACAATGTAGCATGGTGTAATGGCATAGAAAATACTACCATGTTCTCATTGTATATGAAATACGATCACATTGCAAATGAAATACAATCACATTGCATATGAAATACAATCTCATTGTATGTGAAATACAATAATTGAAAATTAAAATGTTTGAGGGTAAATTGCATTTGGGAAATCTATTACTTATAGTAAAGATTTTATGATGTTATTATGGTTTAATATATTATCTTCGTTTTGATAAATGTAGTTTATCATGTTTGATTCATTAACCTCTTGAATCCCAGGCTCTAAAATTGGCATGAAACCAGAGAATTTTTCATTTTTTGCCACCTTTTGACATTTTATTACATACCTATACAACTTTAGATGCTCAGCTTAGTAAAATTGGACGGCAGAGATCATTTCTACACGTTTTAAAACAATTTTTGTGTAAATTGGATGAAAATTGTTCAAATGAGACCAATTTTTGTGAAAAATTTTGTGACGGATTTTCTCATCCCTCTTGGCACCAGTCTTATTTCATTTGTGACGGATATATCCGTCACCCTGGGTATTCAAGAGGTTAAATAAAGAGATAAAAAAGATTTTATGAATTTTAAGTTGATTTCATACAAATTTTAAAGACATTCAATTTCCAGTTTCCCACATGCGATTTACCATTGACCAATTTAAATAGTTAAGATGTATTAAATAGTATGACTAAGCCACTGTCATTTCTGCCCATTAGATCAATTCAAGAATTTCCCTTTAATTGGCATTATTAGCCGTAAATCCTAATTACATATACAATGAGAACACCTATTTTCTATAATACGACAACAACAACACATTTTTAAATGAAATGCACTACATTAAAATATGGCCACACAAAAAAACTCAAATTGTACACTACAAGCAAAACTGAAATTCATGACTGTGAAATATGCTCAAACTGAAACCATGTGCTATGTAAAACGGGGAAAATATGGAGTTTTAGGATGACTTTTAAAGAATAGTTCCAAAAAGGCACGCTCTCTCTGATAATGGTGACCTGATCAGAACATTAAATATCTGAAAGATTTTGCATTAATGTCAAGATCCTTTAACCATAACATTAAATATCGTAATAATTACGACATTGTGTACTAAAGGTACCATTTTGAGAAAGGCTCTTGCATCAATGACAAGATCCTTTAACCATTATTCAACCACTATCTGATACAGATCTTCAGTAAGAGTGTGCAAAGATACAGGAACTTTGAGGGACTGTAAGTCGAGAATAATTTCTATGTGATGACTTTGTTGTGTAATTCTTTACAAAACCGAGACCACTTAAATTTATGATGTCCTTATGAGCATGGAAACATAAGTGAAAGCTTGAATAATTGCATTCATTATGCATTTCATGAAATAGGTCAATCATCTCTTATCAGTTTTATTCATCTGGCAAATTAAGCAGATTTTAAAACACATGAAGAAAGTAAAAGTAATATCTTAGTCATGTTCTATTTCTTTTGCAAGAATTACACAACATATTATTGAAGCGCCCATGTAAATGCCAAACAGTAAACCTGGAATGTGTGAAATGGGAATCCAGAATATGTAAAATGGGAATCTTGGAATGTGTGAAATGGGAACTTTAGGATTTGTGAAATGGAATCTGAATATGTGAAATGGGAATCTTGGAATGTGTGAAATGGGAACTTTAGAATATGTGAAATGGGAATCTTGGAATGTGTGAAATGGGAATCTTGGAATGTGTGAAATGGGAATCTTGGAATAGGTAGGTATAGAAGTGGTATGGATATTTTCATAATCTAGAGTATAATTTCTACTAAAATGAAAAAACCCACCAAGTATAGGATACAATAAATTCTTAGAAAATTTCTAATATATCTTAAATATGTATTAAAATTAAGAGTAATTTCTTTAAGAAATCTATAAAAAGAGAATAACACGAGATTACATTTTGAGCAAATGTTGAGGAGTCTTCCATAAGTAAAAGTTATCACATTTTATAAAAATTCAATTTTAATGTATTTTTACTAAGCATTATCATGATCTCCTTATTAACTGCTCCCTTAGACAATAGCTGTTGATGCAGACTTACCTTTACAAATGGAACCTTATTTTTATCTTCATGCACTGCAAGATTGGTTTTGGAAACTGAAATGGAAAAACAATTTTTAAATGATTAATGATTGTGGTTTCATGTTTTTTTTCATTCTACTTTAATTCATATCTGAACAAAATATTTAATTTAACCATTTTATTTACAAAGCACGACCAAGTCATGAACTAGAATAGCTGGCTTGAGACAAGTTTCTTTTTCATATTTCATATTTCCAGATATTGAAAGCTAATGAATACAATATTCAAAATTTCAAAACTTACCATCTAAAAGATCTCTTATTTTATCCATGTATATTTCGAAATATGACACCTACAAAAGCAAATAAATATAATCAGTTTTCTATAATGTGTTCAAAAAGAGTATTTAATCAAGAACATGTTAATACCTGGGAAAAATGTATCTACTGAGTAAAAATACATGTATGCAAGATCAGGTACATGTAACGTTTAAAACGCAAAATGGAGAGATGACCTGCTTAAAATTAGTGTGTAAAACCGTGATTTATGAATGGGACTAGTTCTTGACATTAAGTTCACTCAGTTTAACGGTCCAGAGTATTCAGTCAAACCAAAGTTAATCAGGGGGTCATTAACAGAAACTTTGTAAGGTTACGAATTCATAAATCAATTGTTGTAACCATGGACTTAATGACATCACAGTTACAATGGACAATGGACTTTACAAATTTTAAACTTTTAGAAGTTTCTGTTAATGGGCATAATATGTCTACAGTAAAATCCACTTACTTTTATATGGAATTCAAGGTTTTCATCCATTTGATAAATATAATTGAACACATCATTGACAATTCTTGGAATAACTCCTTGTAACCTCTCATCTCCAAGAACACCCTACAATGTAAAAGCATCATTTCAATATGAATATGTACAATGTACAATATACAATATGTTTTCTGTGTACAGTGTATATGAATTGTTGTATTTACACCAATGTGTACATTATCTGTATATATGATAATTTAGAAGTTTATGTCACCAAATTTTACCAAAGTACAAAAATCGGTAGAGGTTATTTTTTATATAATTATTACAATCTGGATGCTGAATTATATATTTCTGAGATTACCATAGCTATAACTGTTGAAGACACTTGAAGACTAACACTAATGCCTCAGTCACATTTGAATTACGGCAAATGTGTGGCGTCTGTAGCTTCCCAAAATCGAGAGAAATATGCAACATAAAAATATAGGGATAAGCAGTACGATGTAAATTTTCTATATCGATTTAGTGAAGCTATGGCCATCGTACAGCCGCAGCACTGAGCAAATGTGACTGAGGCTTTAGACCCATATTGAACAACATTGCCAATGATAACCAAGATTAACCCATGAATGACCCATTATAAACAAAATGTTCATACATAACAGTAACAAATATTACTTTACCTCCATTGTATGGGTTTTACCAGAAGAGGTCTGCCCATATGCGAAAATTGTGCCATTGTAACCACTGAGGACATCTGAAAATATATGGAATAATAACAAATGAATGAAATGAACTTAACATGTATAATAATAGCAATATCTACAATTTGAGACTCAGTAATGCTCCAAACCTAGGCATGTTCCATTGTTATAAAGATGAAATAAAAATAAAAGGTAAAAAGTTATTTTTTATGGCATCTGGAGATACAAAAACTAAAGAGCATGGAGTTGACTTTACATGGAGTGACTTTACATGGAGTTGACTTTACATGGATAATAGTGATCGATCAGAGCACAGTACAAGAAAAATCTAATGATGCAACATGTCATTCTTGCAAATGTCAATATTTATGTATTATTCATGTAATTCACCAGACTGACTTCCAAAAGCAACTTCCCAAAGTAGCAAATCCGATAAAACAAGAAAAACAAGAAATATCAAATCTTTTTTATGTTAAATGACTGGAAAAACCAAGCGGTACTACTGGGTCTTTTAACAAAATCTACACCCATGACATGATATGACGCCATATGACAAGTTCCTCCTTGGGTTCTATGTTTATATGGCATTAGCCTGCGAAATTTGAAACAAATCTGTCAGCCGATATTTGAGTTATCAACTGGGCAGACACACAGATGGTCAGACATACTGACGGATGGATCAATAGATGGATGGAGAAATGGATTCTCTATATCTCTACGCAAACCAATGAACTAATTATCAATCATCTCCGTATAGTTACATCTAAAATAACAATCCAATCCAATTAGAGCATATAATTGAAACATGAAGTTGTCATGCGTGACCATAATATTTATGTTCACCCTGTACAGCTATCAATCCCATGAATCATAAAAATGGTATATTTTACCAGGTTTTCAGAGGTCAGAGACCTTAGTGCATACGAATAAACTATAAAACGTTTAAAACTGAAGACAGTAATTCGGCCAGCCCTAGCCCTAATGGGTGCCAAACTGGGTTGAGAATATGTTGCCCAAAGATCCGGGTATCTTACATATTTCTGATTAGTCTTTTGTGATGCCTCGTAGTTAATTTCCTTTACTTAGGGCCATTTGGGAGATGTGTGTTCTTAGTAAATTAATCAGCAGAGACTGTTAGCATGCTGAATGTATGCAATATCTGCCCTGGCCTAAAACAGCTTTTTGTCATCTTGATTTTCTTAAAATCTACACAAATCCTGCTAAATATATGACTGATATTTTTCCATCTTTTAACAGTTTAGAAACTGTAGGATTCATGTCTCTTGTTCCTAACTATTTCTGCCTAAATTCACGCTATCTGAACACAGGAATGTATTATTTTATCTATGAGTAACCTGCTTCAGGTCAAACTGACACAAAATTACATGAGTTAAAAGGGACCATGCCCAAAGCAATCAACACTTGGTTTATATAATTTTAAAATACTGAATAAGAAAAATGATTAAAATATAAAATTCTTCCACAGGCAGAAAATCTGATGGTTCTGCGATAATTATATTTGGCATAAAAAATCTAATTAGAAAATTTTGTTACAAGTCAGAATTTAACCTAGTCTAAGTTGAACATCTCATACCATAGGAGCAATCAATGGTTGAAGAAATGTCTGCAATCCTTTAAGGTCAGCTGAACTAATGGTTACTACCCTTGAAATCATACCATCTCATAGCATCAAGCCGTAACATCTTAATTCACCCAACACAATAAATAGCTACTAGATGAGAAGTACAAAACTGATGATTTGCGGGAACAATCACAAAACTGAATCAGAATCAGAATCATCAACAACATTTTCTGGCAAAATGATATTTCTGTATTGCCTCAGATCTGGTTAGAGTTTTATTATGATGTGAAGAAAATCAATACTGTCTACATAATGGCATGTGGAGATGTTAATACCGCTGACGGATAAATCTCTCGACATGTCTACGACTTTAAGACTACATGAAAACAGTAGAATTTCTTTCAAATATCTCTATTTCAAGACACTATGGAACTGATATCTAAACCTGTATTTTGATATAATTAATTATATCAATATATTATGCATAATATATTATACACAATATATTGTGCATAACTCAGTTATGCATAAATTCATATCTGGTTCCTATACATTTCACCCTCAGCACTTATCAAAATCAATTAGAGATGAATATTATTTTAATAAAATTATAGCAAAACTTGTATATCCAAACACCTCTCTAATATGAACACCTCTTGATGTGAGTGCTTCTTTCTGTCCCATTTATTTTCTGGCATAGCTAAAGCATGTTCAAAAACCTTGAAATGTGAACACCTGCCAATCTGAACACTTTTTTTCTGGTCCGAGTGGTGTTCACATAAGACAGGCTTTACTGTACTGCATTTTGTTATGTCATAAATATATTATGACTCATGCAATACATTATCATTCCATGTCCCCTTACTTCTCTACATATCGATTCACAATACAATTATGTTTTTCTATTATGACCTTCCAGAAGTTTTTCTATTTTGACTTTCCAGAAATTATTACCATCGTAATGCATGCACCATCCTTTCTATATAATATCTATACTTGTATGAAAAACATTCCATACTTAAGCAAGGAGATCATCTGATCAAAACATGATACAACAAGGTTCACAATCAGGAAACATTTTGTCATTTGGCTTATGACAATGCATACTAAGTATGTCATCTTTGCGACTCAAATACAAAAAAAAATTAAGGACTCAATCCAATGATTTTCTATCCCGGGGACCAGCTCTAGTATATTAAAAATAAGAAAGGATTGTTAGTTTAGTATAAGATCTGAACTTCACCTTTTTACTGGGTGACAAATGGCAAAAACATGTGAAAATATTGTTTTTTTACGATCTTCCAAAATCTCAACTGGAATTGATGCAACTGGATGCGTTTGTATTCTTGAAAAGATTAGGGGCAATAAGTTAAAATGAAAGGATTCCTCATCTTAGATCACACATATCCAGATTATCTCATATCCAGAAATTGGTCAATTTTCCCAAGTGTATTGCATTTAGTTTCAATGAACCTAGAAAAATGAGAAGTTTATATCTATAGCATCTGGGTAATATATCATACTCACAACTCTGAAAAAACACTAGAACATATTGAAATATACACTGCAAGTAGAGTATAGACACAGATGTTACCTAGTATCATGCTATAAATATCGGATGAGTCAAAGTATATGAGTAGAAGGCCTGCTCATTAGGAGACCAGTTATTATTGATAGGGTTTAATCTGAAATACATCTGTCAATAACAATCAGGAGATTTTTCATATATTTTCCAATAACCTGAGTTTCCTTTAAAGGGAGTTTTGCATGATCACAATATCTATTATTTGATGAAATAAATATTTTTCAAAACATTTTGTGGATATTTTTATGTAATTATAGGAATCAAAGTACAAAATCAAAATATTTTGTCGAAAATGTCTGTAGAAATTACATTTCTCTGGGTTATTTTTTCAATTTTCATGAAACAACAGAACTACCTTAATAATCTTGAATAAGTGGCCAAATATAATGATTGTCATATTTCTTACTATGTATGTATTACCTGTATGTATATAAAAAAAGGTCAGCATAAGTAATGAGCCAAATTACCACATTCCTTTATCATCTTGAAGCCCTGTGATCGGAGGATGTACAGTTCATAAGTCAATATGATGCCAAATGTAACCATTATCATATTTCTTTAATTCAACCTTTGCATAGATGGTCTGAGGGCAGATGCAACAAATACAATATGTCTAGGTTTGTATAACGACTTTCTAGTAACACTTACTATAATAGATCATTTTAAGGCCCTTTTGTAACAATAACCATCGTGAACTATAAAGGTAATAACGAGGCCTAAATGTAACAATTTTCACATGTATGCAAGATAAATCCCAATTTGGTAGGAGGAATGTCCTATCAAATGATTCAACACTGTAAAATTGTATTCCTCTACAAGATACTCAATTTGCAATCATTAGGGCCAAAAAGCAATTTCAACAAAACATACAGAAGAGGAGACAAGCAGTCTAATGAAGGTTTTACATGCAAGAAATATTGCATGATGCCTGCCTGAGTTTGCTGTATCATGTATGTAATATTCTGGATTAATGTTCATGTGAAACATATGTAGTAGAACCTTACTTTACCATCTTAAGTCCAAGGGTATTTCATTTCTTTCTATTATAATGTAAAAGCATCATATCTAAATTTAAGCATAAATGAAGTCTGTTCAAGAAGGATGTCTTTACCCGTTAGTTACTGAGACTCAGGAAAAATGGGACTGAAAATGTGTTCAAATAGAGGAGTTCTGATTAAAGACATGTTCTGATTAGGTTTCACTGTACCAGCATAAGATTGATTTGTTAATTGACAAGTGGATATATCTACATATTTTAGGTGATAAAGTTGTGTAAAAATACAAAGAGGGAGGTCATATTATCTCCAGAAGGATAAGGTTTGAAGCAGTTCTAGTTGCATCAAAACCTTGTTTCTCTGTTTCTCATTACCCCACTTTTGATTGGGAATGGAAGTACGCAACACAGCTTGGACAAGATGTAAGAAATAGATATCAGAGCATACATTCATTCGTAATCACTGGACAGTTATTTTGTATATTGTAGCCCTGCATTTGGAAAATGCAGAAAGTAAGCTTCAAGTGCAACTTGGCTTGAAGTATAATAGGGAAACAATTCTGTTACTAAGTGATAACATAATAATAATGAGACTGCTGGAGACACGAGTGATTATTATATTCTACTACTGATCATAATTAGAATTCTCAGCTAAAACATCGCATAATCCAACTCTAATAGAATAGCTAGCTATATAGAATAGAATAGCTAGCGATATATGCATTGCATTTATTATAAGGAATTTGAGGGTCGATTTGTTATTATATAACCATTAAGAAGGCGTGATATACTGATAATTGGCCACTGTTTTTGTGGCTGGTAGTCACAAGGTGGTTTCAGCATCTGTAACAATTGTAACACTTTGGGAATCATTTCCAGGTTGTGATATTTTTTCTTATCACATTCTATGTAGAAATCTAGTGATTTGATTGGTTGCTTTCTATGACGTACTTCCCGTATCACATAAATTTCATATGATACGAGCACACATACCACACGTTGTCTATGGTAACGAAATGACGTCATACAACTTCATTCTATTCTTTCCTAATTCAAAATGACGTCACATATAGGCTATGTTATTATTTCTTAGAAATGACGAAATTCGTCATTTGGGGAACTAGAAGTTAGAACGTCAAAGAAAGCTACCAATCAAATCACTTAAATTCTGCATAGTATGTGATAAAATCGTCATCACACGTTTCAGCGTATGTGATATGGGAAATATTCCACTCAGTAAAAAGGTATCACCACTCAAGCTGCGCTTTCGTGGTGATACAATTTTTACTTTCGTGGAATATTTCCCGTATCACATGCTGAAATGTGTAATAACTGATAATATCAATGCCATGTTAATATATGTACCTCTTGCCAAATCATAATTTCTATGTGCCTTTTATAATATTGCTGTTATATATGTAATAAAGAAATAAACAGTCATGAAAGCCGCTACCTCAAAAAAGCTTAAGAGGGAGAATACAGATCTGGCGAAATCTGGCTCAAATTATATGAAACATTTAGAGTGATCATTCTTGAAATCATCTTCAAATGTTTCAGCTTCTCTTCATCAAATTCTGTTATTCCTTGATTCATGATTATTCTATGCCAAAAAACTTTCATTCATTATTTTTAATTTCTAGCCCACTTAGTTTGATAATCTTATCACTGATGTCAGTCACAGTACCATGGCAACAGCTATTCACTCATTCAGAAAACAACATTCTTCAATATCACTTTTTCATAAAAAATTAATTTTACAATGAGTGTCAGTGTCAGATGTATAATAGATTTTTATACATACATAATACTTGCTTTAAATAATAGATAACAATTATCAAATGTCTGTCTGATTTCACTCTATTGTGGATTTAAAAACAGAGTTGCTATATAATTTCATTTACAGGTTGTATGAAGTCTGAAGATGACACATTCAAATCTTAACTGAATAATTTCTTAATTCAAATCATAGCTCTGCAAATATATTTTCCTAACTAAGGTAAATTGAATCAACACCCTGTGACATTCAAATTGATACTTTATTTGTTTTTATGTAAAAAATGCCCTAAGAAAAAATGTATGTGATTGCACCTACGCCTTATGTACCTAGGTACGTCATAACTTTGTTTTGGTTAAAGTAGCAAGCTGGGTAATATAAGGGGGGATTCAGAATTTCTGTATTAAGTCTATACCCAAAACAGCAGAATTTTTTGGGAAATATTTTGAAGTATACTTGTAGTTCATAATTTTGAATTTTTACATGAAACTAAAAAATAAGTAATAAATAAAACAAATCCTTATTAAAAACAAATCCTTATTCATCAAGTTTACAGAATTTTCACTCAGTCGACTGATTGAAGAGAAAAGAAGACAGGGGAAGAGAAAGCAGATGAATAATGGCAACGATTTGATAATTTGGTATATTCTGTAAATATAATTTGTCTTTGAAATTTGCCTTTTAAATCCATCATAGATTACCGTGATAAAGAACCTTGAAGTCAAAAAATCTGCCAAAATGAAAACTTTTGCCCAGTCGTCAGTGATGTTCAGATTAGGGAGGTTTCAATTACTGCATTCAGTGTATTACAACTCAACATATCATTCATTCATCAATTAAGCATCAACATGGTTTTTTATGGAAATCAATCCATTATTTGTATGTTACTGCTAAAAACTGCAAAAGTAAACAAAGATCCACCACTTAAATTACAACTCTCAAAATGTAATTTATTATAAAATACTTGAAATGTTACTCCTACACAAGGAATGCTCGGTTAATAACCCATATAAATGTAAATCAACAATTTATACTTCCACTTCCACAATTTTTTAATTCAACTTGATCTTTTTATAACCTACATTAAAAAACATGAAGAACTTGACTAATATAAATTGTCTAACATCCTTTGGAGGTGTCTGGTTTAAATATATTTTCGTAATAACTCGTTTTGTCCTATAACGTGGATCATATGCCCCTTGGGGTGTCTTCCACTATTGTGATTGCACTTGTATTATTTGGAATCAAGGAAATAAATAAAACAAACAAACAAAACAAACAAACAATAACTAAGTCCAATTAAAACTCAAAAGCCATTAGGAATACAAACATGCGTTGATTCCTCAGATTTCCCATTTACTCTCATGTTGAAACACTGAACCAGTGACGATATGTTTGTTTTTGAAGGTTAAGAATTACGTCAAATGTAAGGTTAAAATACTTATTCCAAACGTCAAGTAGTTGCTGATAAATCTTAGAACTGGAGGGGCAATAAATATATCTTGTGTTCTCATCCTTCCTCATACCATTGATTCATGAATTCTACATTTTCTCTTATAATAAATTAGTGATCCAGTATTAGGAGTTAATTGCCTAATTTCAACTTGATAATCTTAAAAACCTGCTCTTGTGTATATATTTTTCCATTCCCTTATATGTAAATGTCTCTAAGTGATGGCATAAAATACTGCAATTTTTGTTACTAAATTTTAAGCTTCAAGAAGAACTGAAAAAGTACTTCAAAGATCAGATAGCACATGAATTGGTAAACCATGTTAGATATCAAATCATTTTTGCTCGTTTTATTTGCCTGCTGATTGAGTATTGCATTCATAACATTGAAAAAGGGACCTCTGCACTCATAAAATTAGACACATGTGAGCCAAAAAGCAAACCAAGTATAGAACACTGAAACTATTATCTGTTCACAAAAAACTTGATCTTAACACTTAAAGATTTTCATTCATTTTTTCTATTAAATGTCAATTTACACTTGACACCTTAAATGTTTTGAAAGTACATGCCTTTAAAAGGGTTTGTTTGAGAACACTCAATGCCATTATCGAAAAACATGTTTTATCCATTTTTTATAAATGTGTATCTTGTTCTGCAAAGGTTCAGCAAGTACAAAGGGGAAGGTGTGCTTTGGGAACTTTGTTGTCTGGCCTTATAAGGCACCAGGATATCAGACAAAAAGGACAAATTTTATCAATTCTAACCTTTTTTCAATAGGTATTTTTGTAAATAACAGTCTTTAAATAAACAGGCATTTAGACTAGAAATTTAAGACTTCAAAAAATCCTTAATCCTATAAACAGGGGTCTACAAAAACAGCTTCTATGAAAGGAATTTGATGTCATATGTTAAAAACATAGAACACATTTGAGTTGAAATAGTCTATCCCTTTCCAAGGAACATGAATCCTCCTGATATAGGTGACCATAATAAGCAGTGTAATGGTCACAATACATGGAGATATGTGATTTTATTATATCACTATCTAGCTAGCGACAGTATGATTGGTCACATGTCGTGGGATATCTGGCGATATTCAATGGCAATGCTAATCAGATAAGACAACCGTGAGATATCTAGCGATATCCCACGCTCCCGGGAATTTTCAAAGAATTTGTTTTCGTTCAGTGTAAATGATTTAGTTCAGTGTAAGTCAAAATGGCAGACGAACCGAGTAGATAATTTCGTAAAAATATATATATTTCAATGTTAACCTATGACTTAATAATATTAGGGATGATTAGCTATAGACAGTGATATAATAAAACAAATATTTCACTCTATTTTCGGTGAATACCTGTAGCACTTTCACAAGGTGATATTCCACTTGTACCCTTCGGGCTTCGTGGAATATCACTTGTGAAAGATGTACAGGTATTCACCTCAATAGAGTGAAATATTTGTTCAGTATACTTCTACAGCTTGATCCACAATAACTGTCAACGATTACCAATTCATACAATTATATATTGAGATCGGATTCTGGTATATACCTGAATTATAAAACAAAGGGAACATTTTTGCGATAGTTAAATGGAGAACTCGCCCCAATAAAGACCAAATTGTGTCCCTGATTGGAACATTAAAATTTTTCATGTCATCTGTCATTCTAAATGTTTATTGGATTCAATAGATCTGTACTTACCTAAGACAATCTGTTTGGCTGCTGAAGTATACACAAATTCCTGTGTCACATTAGGTTTGAATACTTTATCAAATACATAGATCTTTCCCTGAAATGACAAAAACATAAAATTCATTAATCAACATCTTGGTTTGCACTTTTGACTTTAATCTCATTAGATTCTAAACATTGATGGACTTTTGGAATAATTATCATGATATCATTTATAAAGTTCAAGGGTGATGTTCTTTATGTGCAATATATCAATCTATATTTTGGCTTACTCTATTGACTGTAATCTCATTTATATTCTATTAAGAACTTATGACGGGGGGGGGTTTGCTTTTAATACTGAAACGATGACCTAATATCTAAATTCAGAAATCAAATTTCAATCAAATCAGAAGTAATTTCTGGATTCATCCTAAAGGACTTTTGGATTCAAGATTAAATTAACATTATTCATCAATTCAAAGGGAGGTATATACAGGTTTTTCACAATATACACATTGAATATATTTTCATAGTTCATATAATCTCAGAAACAACAACAATGACAGCTTGTTCTCTTGGTTGGATATATTGCTGTTTTTCCCTATGATATTATAATTTCCAATAAATCAATCAACTTTGTCTTCAGTCTACAATTCAGCCTTACCAGAGTTTTCGTTAATTCTATAAAGGATGATTTTCAAAAGTACAAAACATCGCAATAGAACAATCAATCAAGAATGATTCCATTTGAAAGCCAAGAATCAAACAAAATTATGCCTTCTCGATGGTTAATCTTCCGGGAATGCAAATCTACATTAGTCAAAATCAATACCTAATAAATTCTGCTATAGCTTAATCTTGTATGGATGTGCCATGATTCATTTCACGATTCCTATTGACCCTTGGGGAACTCAGAGAATGTCTCGTCTAACATAGAACTTCTTCAATATGTTCCGCTAAATGTGCATGGACATAAACTTTACCTTATAACTATAAAGGATATTTCATTTTACAATTGGAAGTTCTACCAATCACAGAGCAATGCCAAGGATCTAGCTATATGTTTTCCCTAATTGGACATATTCTGAGAATCATGGCTGGGTAAAAACCTGGATGATACTAAAATAGAGGGCTTTCAATAAGGCAGGCCCGTAGCCAGGGGGGAGACTCGGGGGTTCTAAAGAATCTCCCCCAGCCAAAAATTCTTGCAAAATCATGCAGTTTTTCATCATTCTGAGCACTTTTCTAGTGATTTTGGCCAGTTTTGGGAAGTAAACTCCCCCTTGGCAAATCTTGGCTGTCCAATAATCTTTTAGACTAACTCTGTCATACTCGATCTGTGCATCGTACCTAACACTCCGAATGTACAAAATTATAAATGGAACACCTGATTTGTATAACAAGTATATGAAGAAAGATATGCCACAGTGTTTTATCATAACAAGCAGAGTTGTTATCTGTCCTGGGGAGAACGGGAAATGTTTGTGGTCATCTGACCGTAACCCTTACAACACAAATATGGTCTTATGTCTATAACCCACACAACTCTGGTCCACAGAGAGTTACCTTTAAAACACATCTATACCGACTGTTACCCTTATAACATAATAACTATGGTCTAATGTATGTTACCCTTATAGCACAAATATGGTCTTATGTCTATAACCCACACAACTCTGTTCTACAGAGAGTTACCTTTAAAACACATCTATGGTCTACTGACTGTTACCCTTATAACATAACTATGGTCTGATGTCTGTTACCCTTACAGCACAACTATGGTCTAATGTCTGTTACCCTAACTATGGTCTAATGTATGTTACCATTACTGCACAACTATGGTCTAATGTATGTTACCCTTATAACATAACTATGGTCTAATATCTGTCTGTAATCTATACCTATGTTAATAATCAGCCCATTTAAAGCAGCTATATAATTTTAACATTCATGTTTCTGTTACCTTTATATATATAACTACTGTCCATTACTCTTTCATTCATTCAGCCATTTTATAGTATCTAAGTTATTCATATTTAGTGATTCACCTGCTGTTTTCAAATGTAGCTAACTGAACCCTTAAGACACAAAAAACAATTACGAGTACATTTTAATGATGATGATATGAATGTATATATACCGTATATCTTCATTAGCCTATTATATATGAACATTATATACATAATGTATTTTATCAGGAGATTGTGGAGTCTAGCCTTTAATAGAGTTTTGGTTATTTGAATTTCCCGCTGGAACTTGAACACATGCCAGGAGCCAATCAATGAGTGGCACACGACGATCAGCCAATCAGAACGCAGTGTGGGTATTGAAAGACAAGATAGCGCCCATCCTGCTCGAAGACAAATTATTGAATTATCTCCTCAAGTTTTTTACACTTTTGTGACGAATAAAGTGTAGGTAAGCATGCAATTTTGTTTCGTTTACGATCAAACATATAACACGCTTGTTTAGGCAAACTTTCGAAGTCGATATGGCACACCAGGAGAGCCTATTGGAAGATATATCTTCACGCTCTGGAAATTTTCGCCATTTTCTGTTCCATTTTCTAGTTGAGTTCTCGTTTCGATAGTTTGCCGTAGGTTTGATCCGTTTTAAGTCATTGCGGAGATAAGTGGGGATGGTTCATATGCCCCAACTAATTAATAACATTGTTAACCACTACAGTGATTAATTTACAGGTCAAGAAAGTGTAAGTATATTGCTTTGGAATAAACCAAAGGATATAAGGTTAGACTCCCATTTCCCATAAACTTTTTCTAATTGTGGTTACAGTTATTAATTACGTAGCAATGTCTATAAGATAAAGATTATTATTATAATATAGCAGGTCTACTGATATCTGGTGATAATCCAAGCAGTAGAACTCACCCTGCTGAACATCTAGAATGAAAAAAATAAAACATCACATGATTGCTTTCTAGAGAGAGCAGTTTTAAATATAACATTGTCTTTTTATGACTTAAAAAGAGTGATGTTTATCAGATATATAGAAATTGATGTCCTTAAATGGTTGTAAGAAAAGGAGATCTCCTTATATCTTACCACAGGTCTGGGAAATGTAGCATAAGTTACCCTGTATTCAGCAACTATTGTAATATTCTCTGACCATGAGCAACCGATTCACATTCAACCAATTGGCCAATAAGAAAGCACCACAGAGCCAAACTAATACATTAACATATTTAAATATGTTGAAATCATTAGTTTAACAATGTCAGCCTGATTAGCTGTATGAGTCGTAGTATATGAGAAGTTTATCAATCAATTTAAGAGAATCAACCATGGTTGATCATTTCCAAAGGGTAACTTCCAGTAGACAGGTGACCTGAAGTGTAAGGTAGCCTGTTTGTGGTTACAAGACCAGTCACATGGAAAATGTCAACAAACTTGAATTAATTATTTCCCCAAATATTTATAGTCATTTATAAATAAACTTCCATAGTCAAAACATGGATTCTCAGGATATAGAAGGAATTTTGGTACCCAATTAAGAATTCAAAAATAAGATTTTACCAACCTGAAAAAATCTGATTCAGAAATTCATGAAAAACTTTTCTTATAGGGTTTGGACATAGTACACAAATTGCAATATAAAAATGTTACTTCCAGTTATGAAAAGTTCATCAGACAACACATACCTAGTCAAATATAAGTTGTTTTCAACTATAAAGGTTTATTCTAGTTAACACATTGAATGATGACATGCAAGTCAAGTAGATATAGAAGCCTTCTTACTTTAAGCTCCTACATAATCCACATAAAAAACTGAAATAAAAATGCTATTGAAAAAAATGAAAGAGTAAAGTTCAGATATTTATAGGATATCCTATGATTTTGAGGAATATCATTTTTATCTACGAGGTGATATTGATATCTGCACGAGAGAGCGAAGCGAACGAGTGCATATATCAATATCACCGAGTAGATTAAAATGATATTCTGAAAAAAATCATAGGATGTTCTTATTATCCTACACTTACAAGGAGTGTACTGAATGTATAATATCATTGTAAAAGGAATTTCATGCTAAATAGAGTCAATTTGGCGGGAAATCAACAATCGGAGTATATCGTCACAATATCCTCCGCATATTGGGGTTTCCGGAGTATATCGTCACGATATCCTCCGCCCGGAGTATATCGTTACGATATCCTCCGGATATTCATTTTGCCAATAAATATCAAATTTATTTTTTCATGTTATTATACATTTAGTACACTAAGTGTAGGATAACATTTTGTATAAAGTATGAGAACATGCAAACTGTTAAAGCCTTAACCTCAGATATGTCAGCCAAAGAGTAGAGTACACGTACATGTGTAGTCTAGGTGTTCTAGGTTATTTTGGCTTGTAACATCATGACCTTTTTCTCTTTATCCCAGGTATTCTGCTGGCATCGTGTTTTGGATCATTGATCAAAGCATAATCACTCTATACAAATGTGACACATTGATGAGGATATATGAGCAAGCGGTATATGGCAAATAATTCTAAATAGCATTTGAGAATACCTGGCACTAATTCTGTTATATGCGTTTGTTATAGTATGAACAAATACAGTAAAACATGTATATCTGAACACCTCTGTAATCTGGATACCTCTCAATGTGAATGACTGTAAGGTCCCATTTTAAATCTGCTATAGATTGCCATGTTAAAGCCTTAAAATGTGAACACCTGCTTAAATGAACACTATTGGCCAGTTCCAGTTGCATTCACATTTAACAAGTTTTACTGTATGTTATATTCTAAACAATTAGTAGCCTTTAGCAGTAATGTAGCATATGTGGGCAAATGTTGGCAGGCAGGTGAAAGTAGAACTGAATTTACTGTTAGTTATTTATACTAGCATGTGATGGTACATAGACAAACATGTATACTATGGGTCCCTGATCTAATTTAAATCCTCCGATAACGAACCCATGGAATATGGAATTATGATTTGGTGAATAGCAAGTTTTCGTATGAATCAATATGAGTCAGTCTAATCTGTCGATAGATATTATGTCTGGGGGACGATAACCTGTGTTGTATGATTAGGGAGGTTTAGCTATATACGTTTTTGTACATTAATAAGTAATAGTATGACCCCCAGGGATTAGTGTCACCCTACTGATCAAGTTTTCTACGAACTAATAATGCATATGCGAGTAGGCAGTTACCAGTTTCACCACCAGGTGGCTCGTTCAGGTCAGTTATGCAATAGTTATGCAAATTAAAATATGTCCAGTAAAGGAAAATGTTATCTGTCCAATACAAGAAAAGTAGAGGCTGACGGTAATTCCGGTTATACGGTTTCGGTACGGAATTGAGCATTTACCGGTATTGAAATTATTAACCGGTTAACCGACGATAATCCCCGGGGAAATAAAAGACACGTCGTTTTTTAATTATTTCGTTTAATTTCCACTTTCACGATGCGTACATTTACATAGACATTTAGATGTCCATGTTCGGCAGTTCAGGTGTGATGTCCATGTTTGGCAGTTCGGATGTAGTAGCTTCATGCTCAGATTCAGATTTGTTTGTAGTTATGTTTGGCAGTTCCGGTGTAGTTGTAGTGTCAACGTCAGATCCAGAAACTATTTAGAATTATGTTTGTAATAGTCATTTACGAACAACAAGGCATTGTTGACCCCTCAGCAGGTTGAAGTCGTGCCCGTTTGGAAGTGATGGTGTTGCCAGCTGCACTGAACTGATGTTCACTTGACACGGATGACGCAGGAATAGCATGATATGTTTCAGCCAAACTCGCCACATCAGGATATTTTGTTAAAATCTATTTTACCTACCCCCATGTATACTGCACGTCGCTTTCTATTGATACAGTTGAGAAATGGTTTGAAATGTGTAATACATTTAATTTAAAACTAAAAATACATCTTGATTCGTAAGATAGTTACATACTATTTCGTGAAGTTCATCAGCATGGGTTCAAATCGGTCTTGCACCATGTATGCATATAGACTTGAGAAGCTATGGAGAGAGTTAGGAACAAAGTGGGGGTGGCAGCGCAACGGCATTTTATATTACATATTTTTACCGGTATTTCGGTAACGGTACGGTTATTAGCATGACGGTTACCGGTACTGGTTTTCAGTACCGTTGCGACCTCTAAAGAAAAGGTATTTCACTTTTTGTGATTTTGTAACATGAGGTCTATGGGGAATCAACCTGAACTAGCTAGAAGTCACATTTTCAATAAAAATTAAATTTTCAAAGTTGAAACCACGAATTTTGCATATTTATTGACGTAAATCAAGATTATTTCTACTCGCGTCTATTTAGCATTCACTTTAATTCAATCAGGTAAATTACAAGGGGGACAACTAGTCGACATTGGACTATTTTACATGTTCAAGTAAAAGTTATCTTAACATGTAGCTAACCTCCCTTTCTAGGGTGCATTGCTCTGTATTGAACTATCTTGGGTTGAACTGTCATAGATAGAAACTTGCCTAAGGTTGAAGAGCCTTAAGATATGATGTGCCTCAGGTTTAAGCAATTGTGTCAATTGAACTATCTTGGGGTAGGTTAAGTACTACAGTCTCCATCCCTCCCCCCTCTACTCACAGAAGGTAGGGCATCTTGAAAAGGTCACAATGGCCTGAAGCAAGACTAGGTTATATATTAACATTACTGAATTGTATGGGTTGTCTTTGGGAAAATATCTTAAGTTTATAAATCATCAGTAAATTGCCTGAAAAACAAGAGCTGAAAAATCTAACAAACTTTCAACTGATCACATCTACTAAAGTAGATCAAATAATTAACCAATATTATTTCCATGTTCAGTAAAGCTCCGATGATTTTGAGTTTGTAAATGTGTTTTTGGATGATTCAGAAGGATGTGTGAATAACTGATATTTCCAGCAGCATGTGAAAAGGATGTGTAAAAGCCAGACAGCTTACAGATAGTAATGATGGCCTAGGATGATACACTGAACTACAGCTGTACATGTACAGGGAAATCTCCATCATATGTACAAAATAATTGCAAGAACATACATTGCAATAAATATATGAAAACAACCACAATGGATCACGCATTCTTTTTTCATACATCCATACCATACACAGTGAATCTATTATGATTTCTAACAAGTCTTGAGTTTAGTTTTTATCTTCAAATGCATAAAACATTTATCAATTCTGACCAGGTAATTAACCTTTAGGTTTTATGTAATTCTCACTGGACCATTATTCATCCAGGTGTGAGGTAAAATGTCAGTGATATCACATGTTACATTAGACTTCAGGTAGAAATCAGACAGACTGCTGCGTAATTACAAGTGAAAAAACACACAAGATAATGTATCGGGTAAAATGGTTAAATCTTGCTGAATGCTAGCTGTGGGTGAGACATGAGTATTTACCATAACCAAGGACTTGGCAGTTATGTGATAGACCATGATTCATAATACAAGCTTATGCTTTTAAAATCTCTTATATCTCTCTGGTTTGAACCCCCCCCCCACATACCCTATTATTCAACTATCTATTGGCCTAACCTTATATTGAGAGAATTGACTGTCCCTGCATTGACAGTTAGAGCATAATTGGGGGGGGGGGGTATTCATACTCACATATAAAGAAATTGAGCCATCAATTAATATAAACAAAAAGATAACCAAGAGATCCTTTCTATTTTGGTGTTTTAAAAGGTTCTAAATATAATATCAAGGAGAACTGAGAACTGCCATTTTGAATTTAGGTTTCTAAAATGGCTGTCATAACAGTCCTTAAATTAACATTGCCAATATAAGAGACAAGATGTTAAATGAACCATATAACAATTAAATCTGCATTAATGCTTCAAATTTTCAGGAACCTCTTGGCCTTTGATAATCATTTACATCATTAGCTACGTATTCTATCTCTAGATGCATATGTCTTCCTTTTAGTATGATTCTTGGCATTTTCTCCTAATAACCTGTAATGATAATGTAGGCTACATTTGCGTTGCTATTATGAATGAAAGTAGGTCAACATGACCGTGTTTATTTCCTTCTATCTCTTTACATATTTCAGACCAAAATAGAAGTTAAAGATAGCTCTAAACATCAGCAGTATTTAATATGTACACATATAGAAGATGCAGTATAATAAAAAAAGATTTGGGTATAGCTTCCATTTAAGATTACACAAACATTTTATGTAGCATTACCTAATACATTGTACAGTTCACACAAAAATGATAGGTAGAACTAAGTAAACATGTTTTAAGGCAAAAGCCGCTAGTAATCACTGATTCATTCATCTCTGGGGTCATAGGTCTATGAGGTGACATAAACCTGGCACATATTGATTTTCAATAAATAATATTATTGGCTGCAGAGAAACGCACCATCTGGATATAGCATCAAATCAAGAACTGTGTGATTTTTAACTGGCTAGAAATATTGGTCTTCAAATATCAGCGTGATTTCATAAATAATGCAACATTGGTTCATAATCTGATAAAACAATTGCCACCAAGCCTTACAAAATCAATATACTGTTTGTCTTCTACGTTACATCATATCATGCCAATGATTATATTTTGGAGGTACCGTTAGCTAACAGATGTATTAGAACAGAACATAATCCTCGATTTCATAGCTGATATTAGCAAATTCAATTTGATGGAATTCAATTGTAAAATCAGAAGTATTCTTCAAGCTTATAGAATCAGTAAATATTGTGTCATTGAACATTAGATTTCAAATGTAAAACATGCAATTTAAAATGTGCCATACTTTTAACCAAGTTAACATGTGTATAACTGCATGACTGAAATAAAATTATCAGTTTCAAGTTCAATTTAGAACTCTTGCAAGTGAATTGTGATAACAGATATAGGTCAAAAGGGAACACTTTAGAATGAAAATTCACACGTCCACATGTAGTATGTGATACTATAGATAGCACATTTTATAAATATGAAATGTTCAAACTACACTTATATTCTCTCAAATTTACCTCAAATACAATTATAGTCACATTTTCCACAGCCTATGTTGTCCTGTTAAGGCCATGGGAGATTCATAATAAAACCATTGATAATTTATGATAATGTCTAATGCTATAATGACATCATAGAAAACATTTCCTCCAGAAACAAAAGCAGGTTTGTAAATAAAATACATACCCCTAATGATATAGAATCGTCTGTTTGAAGTTTCGCTATGAATTTACTGCCAGTTTTTTCCTCATTCTCATTCAGTGGCCTAACTCTGCAGACTACTTTGATACCGCATTCTGCGGGAGGATCAGCAGCCGGCAACACTTGCGACGAATCCATTGTTCAATTCTTTCACAATCTACAGATATATAATCCTCTTTCCACGAAAGTGAATTTCTATTTTTTATTATGCCATCTTGTATTGATTACATTACAGACTAATGAAGTGTTATTATTTGACAGCTTTTCTATGAAGATAGGTGTATCCAAATATGCCCTTTTTAAAGTGCTTGTATCTCAGTACGTACTGTTCCGATTTTCTTCAAAATAAGGTTTAATATATCCACATATACTCCTCTCTTGATTCTAGATAAGCATAAGGCGATAAAACTTAAACTTACTGAGATAATTTGCTAAAATTTATGTCTGGTTTTTAGCTATTTTTTCTTGCCATTTTTTGGCGAAATGCATGCTGGGTAACGATGAGTAATGTGTCATTATTTTATATGAATTTATAATAAATACAAATTTAGGATAATCAGAAACTATACAAATACAATAATGAAGTAGAATACAATAATATGGTGTTATAAAATCAAACTTTGATGAGTTTTACCAGGCAATTTTATTAGTCACGTGATACTCACATGATTCCACTTCAAAATGGTGGACGGACTTTCAAAGATGATTTTAATTTACTTTTGTGTTGTTTGTCTTTATGCAACACAGGTAAGTCATAATTGTACTCAAAATAAATCAAACTAACAGTCAAAACACAGGTGTTCTAGATCTAACTTCTCGATTGTTATGCTACAGGCAATTTCATTGTTTTATTTTTAGTAAAAAATAAGAAATCAAATGATCATTCATTCATTGTACAATAATATATGGAAAAATATATTCCTATTGCCCTACATAAATCACATTTCTATATCTTGGATTGCTTCCTAGTCCTAGCCTTGCCCAAGTCGGTATTTTTTTTACTTATCTGATCTTGAATTATTACCGCCTTGTCCATGTCCAATCCAATACATCTCCGCTGATATTATGCTGAGATATTCAACAGTTTCGAGATTTCCATAATACCTACGCTATCAGGGGTATCGCGAAACCTTATTGATTGACAGATCACTTGGACACGACGTGTGACTTCAGGCTGATTGACCAATCAAAACGTTATCAGGTTGACCTGCTTAAAGAAAGCGAACTTCCCGTCTACGACTTGAAATTCAATGATCTGTTTGAGTGTTTCTTTAGAGTTACAATATATTATGTAATTAAATGTACATTGGAATGAAAGAGTCATTAATATAAATTAAATCATGCGATTCAATGTTGATTTAAAACTGATTTTGCGATGAAAATGCACGAAGACCTAGTCCATGTAGCGGGTCATGGAGTCGTCGATCAGTGATTGAATATCAGCCTACATGTTCGATCATTTGAATTCAAATGAGTTTCAACGTTTATTGTTGAAATCTTCTCACCTCCGGTTATCCGATTGATGCTCCGGCATCCACTAAACTCTGATTGATATTTATCTGATAAAATATTTGTATTTTCATGATGGCAAGATTTTTTCGTGAAAAGTCCCGGTGAAAAGTGTACTTGTTTTTGACCGTGCATAATAATGAGCTAGCGCTGCAGGGCCGTCGTTGATTGGTCAAATTTTACAGGCACAAACATTGGGTCGGTAAAGCATGTGGCTTTCTCTTGGGTACAAGGCGGTCATAATAGAAATCAAGATAAGCAAGGCTACCTAGTCCTAGTAAGTCCAGATATAGTGGAAATTGTGTCCATAATGACAAATAAGAACTTAAAAATTTGAAGTGGATATTCACATGTTAATGCCGACTCTTCAAATGTTGAGTTAATTTCAGTGGAGACGATAACCCCATTTAACGTGAAGTACGGCAGTTGCCATGTTGCACGACAACTGACGTGAAATTATGAAACATAAGTGCGCATGTCAATAGATAATAGCGGCAATTGCCGTCATGTCCGTCAAGTGACGTGCAATATTTTGCACGGCAATTGACGTGCAAACTATAATCTTTTAAAAGTTTCACATATTATCGGCAGGACGACAGGCAGTTATAAACTGGGAAACAGTGGGTAAATCATGATCTGCATCGTATGTAATAATTATAACCATAAACATTTGCTATTGTCCGGGTTGCATTTTGAACTAACAACTATCATGATGTGTTTTCGTCAATGTTTACAAGAAATATTTATTCAACAGCAAACCGGAAGTAAACACACGAGGGAAAGAAAACTAATAAATTCTGATCTAATGGGGATAGGATTTAAATTGTTTATAATTCATTTAAGGTAATCATTGGATCATCGCAAAGAAGGTTTAAAAATCAAATCCAGCCAGGAAAAAAACGAAAAAATCAGCAACATATCGAGGTCAGGAAAACACTTCCGGTCAAAAAGAAGAGGGGAAGTAGACCCCATTTTAGTGATTTCCAGTGGTCTTTTCTCGGAATTGAGGCTCACGTTGTATTAAGAGATTAAAATACCATTGGATCAGTACCAATTTTGTCGTAAAACCCGTCAGAAAGACGATATCTAGACAATTGAAGGAGCATTAGTAATTCCAATATGGCGTTTTTCTAGGATTCGTGAGAGGTAACTTTGATTAGTTTTAGCGCAAAATTGCCACATAGGATCGCGAATTCCTGCATACAAGTGCTAGATTAGATTAAATACTTGAAGAAAATGCAATAAAAAGCATTCCATCGATCGATTTAGACTTTCCAAGAATGCAAGTTCGGTGGTGACTTCATTGGTTCGTAACATTGACAGAAAATTCACAAGATTGAACGGTATTTTCTCCACAATTTTGGAATGAAATACTTCCCTGGGATTTAATATATCATTAATGTTTACCTAAGTATACGTACTATAAAAGAAATATTACTTAGATTGTATATATTGTGAACGCTGGGTCTTCTAATTAACCTGGTGTTTCAAATTATGAATTATTATTGACATTCTGCTTATTGGCGTGATTCACGTCAATTGACGTGCAAAATGGCAATCTCCGTATTACACGTTAAATGGGGTTATCGTCTCCACTGAATTTTGGAGCCCGATTACGCCACAATGAGGGTTGGCTCCCAGAATGCAACATGACACATGCCAGCCTTCAAAATGCCGTTCTGCCATTTTGAAACCTGTCATGAGTAAATAAGGTTAACTGATGTTGCATTCTGGGAGTCAAGGTTAACTGATGTTGCATTCTGGGAGTCAATCATCATTGGATCACAAACATGGCGATTGATGAAAACATTCGTTCGATTTGGTAGGGATTTATCCACTATTTGCAGGTATAAACCTTTGGAATCATTTATTGTGCTACTAAAAGTGAACGGGAATTATTTTTCTACCACTTAGGCGAGTTTAAGACATGAAACTTAGAATTTAGTTCATTGTGACAATTTTTGATGGTTGAGGTTTATTTTTGTTCCGCACTTTATGTGGTCTCTTATATTTTGATGCTTCTCTGCCATATTTTCAAAAAGATTAACATGGCTGAAATTTTTTAATTACAAGGGGATAGCATCATTTCCATTCAAGCGAGGTTGGGCCATGCAGCCGAAGGTGAGCCATACAACCAAATTTTGCCTATTTAATCTGACGGAGAATCCCGAGCCTCTCTTTTTGACCAATTAGAGACGTCCTCTTCACATTCGTGGTACCCTCGGCCAACTTACAAGAGGACACGGTCTTATTGCACAAAAAACTAAATAATCTGAAATATTCAAATGCCATTCATGTACAATATGAATATACTTTTACATATTATATTATTGCACAATGGTCTCCTGGTTTCTTATTTTTGGGGTTCTACTGACGCAATAAAACAGTGAAATGGGCTATAAATCCCTTTGCAATTGGTGGTTCTACCCAAAGAGGTTCCAACACAATCTTCAATCTCCAAGCAGATTATTAAAGGATGCACCCAAGTAAAAAGAAATGGCAATTCTCATGTAATAATTGGTTAACTTTGGTCTAATAATTATGCATTTTGATAAAAGTTAACCTATTTGTTAAATGAGCATTAAATCAATGAAAGTTGAATGCCAATAAATAGCTATTTATTACACCTATTTATTATTTTAACAACTATGTTATAATGCTCTTTGAATAATTGGGTAACTTTTTGTCATCCTTGCTACCCTAGGGGATAAAAATTAGCTAATTGTTAAGATTGGACTTAAAAAGAATGTGGCAGTGAGTATTAGCAAAATATTAACTTTCCCGCTCTTTTTAAACCAAAAGAAAAATGGCTGACAAAGAATGTTCAACTGTAAGAGATTTGGGTAATTTTATGATTTTATAATAATAGTATGAAAATGACCAATCAAATATAGATTCAGAAGTTACTGACATACTTGAACATTCTGCATGTCTACTTTGTGAGAGGTAAAATGTAAGTATTGCTGTTTTATTCCAGTTTAGATGGGCAAATCTTCTTTTCTTTCTGAATTTATAAAGGCTAAATTTTAATTCTATTCATACAGTCAAAGTGGTCAAGCATAAATGTGTTGTGTATGACTAATTGTACCATGCAGTAAAAATATAAGGTATTTTATAAAGATTATGAAGATAAATACTGCTGGAGGCCTAGAGGGTCCTTCAATTACTGTGAGCCTTCTTGCCTTCAGGACAATTCTGATCGATGGGTAAAATTACCAGTGATGTCCCATAATAATTGCTTATATCATCTTACATACCCAGGGCCAACCTAAAATGAACAATTTGCTTGAGATTTCCAAAAATTGTGGTACTTTTACGGGAGATTTTTACAAAATCTGGAAGTTTTTTAAAAAATTGTTAGTTTTCGCCGTAGATTTTAAAAAATCTGGAGTTTTTGAGGTGAAATAACTGGAGTTTTTACGGTAGATTTGAAATAAACCGGTACTTTTTTTTATAAAAGCGGATTATCTCCAGTTTTTTTTTCTAATAAACGCAATAGTTTTTGCGGTAAATTCTGCAAAAAGTGGTACTTTTGTGGGAGATTTTTGACAAAATCTGTATAGTTTTTGCAAGAGAATTTGCAATGAATTAATTTATACGCTTTGCATGGCCAGATTTGAATATTCACTCGAATTACATATACGTCACATATTTACTTCGAATTTGTGTGTCCCTACCCATTTTGTAGACCATAATGCATCTTGGGTAAGAGTAATGCAACAAATAGGTTTTAAATAGCTAATAATTAGGTAATACTCTGTTAATTCTTAGCTAACGAATACCTAAAAAATTTATCATGCAAATTAGAGAATATTACCACAATAAATATGTACAATATTTAGGTAATATTCTGTTAACATATAGCTTATTATTGGAAGATAATAAATACATGATTATTAGATTTCTAATTTTACCTTATTGTTACAATGTAATTTTCATTTGATAATCAGTCAATATTCTACATGAGCGTTGAATGTTAACAATACCTTATTATTAACACCTATTTATTAACGTAATTCTCTCTAATTTGCATGATAAATTTTTTAGGTATTTGTTAGCTAAGAATTAATAGAGTATTACCTATTTATTGTCAATATTTTCCCATTGACTTTTTTCGCAATAATAATGAAAGTGAAAGTATTTGGCCGTTGTTAGGAATTCCCCAAAACAAATGTCACAATGATTGTCTCCATACCATCCAAAGCATATTACGTAATATTTGTGGCTGCTCTTGTGAG